GAAAGCGATAGGCTGGGGGAGGGGATAGCTGGAAGTGGTTAATTAACTCGCCTGCCTGCACCCCAAATCTCGATCCATGTCAGGGTAAAGAGAGGAACAGTCAAAATTACGTAGGCGCCCAGCCATGTGGTGCTGCCTCAGCAGGGTGTCTTGTCTACAAGGCTGGTTACAAAAACGCAAGGCGAATCTGAATCTGGGACGAAGGCAGCAGCAATCAATTAAGGTTTCTTCGTAAGCGATATCCGATCCAGTACTTCAGCTCAATGCGACGATCCATGTCCATACGAGTACAGATAGTACTTCGGTGGTCTGGATGGTACTGGACTCATTTGTTTGAGAACTTGTCGAGAGTTTTGATGGGCGTTGGATTGCTTTCTACTAAGTCAGTCAGGGTAAAAGGCGGAGTGATCAGTTGAAATCGAGCCGTCAATCACCATGCAGCCAGCGCCCGATCATTCCCGGTTCTAGGCAAAAAAGATAGGTCGAGTCCATGTAGGCAGCAGGGTAGCAACAGGGGTAGATCATGGGCTGTTTCGCCGCAGTATTTTGCAAACACAGGACATGTTACGGTTGATGTGTAACAATGTTCGGATACGTGGTCTGTGAAAGGGGCCGTGAGATTGATTATCACAATCGATCTGCCAGACCGACTTTCTGCCTCCGTATGTAAGATGATCAGCTCAGCTAATCTCCGGACAAAAGTACCCTTGCCAATGGACAACTCATTGTGATCGGCATGGTATTCTAGAACACTGAGTGCGAGGCCTATTGGCCAAAGAAAGGGATTCGATATAGGTTAGTAATGCACACCTATGAGCATGTCTTTTATGCGCTCCTGGTGATATGAGTCACATCCACGACTTCTGGGGCATGTCCAGCTTACCCGAAAAGCACATGGCCTATGACAGACCTGGTTTGCTGCGGACAATACTCTTACAGTACCTTCCAAGCTGGCTTCATCGCCCCCGGCGACAAGGCCCGGAGTATGAGCAACAAGTTCGGCGGAGTCCTGATACCCGGATACCAAATCCAATGAGTACCTCTATCGAAAGATTTTGACTGCATCAGACGATCCGGCCTACCATGGCTGGCTACAGCAAACCTCCGGGGTAGGCGCAAAAACCCCTCATCTCGAGAGGCGGGAAATCAGCTCAAATGGTGTCTCGGATATGCCGGGGTCCTTGTCCGAATAGGACTCGTGAGTCTTTCTAGGGAGAGATGCCATCATCACATGAGGGGACCTGGAACCAAGAAAGCAAACAATCCGTGATAGTTATAGCAGGTTATAGTGCCAGCGCTCAGACCTCGACCAAGAACCGTCTAAAGAGCTGGGTCATTTACATGAAGTTGCAAGGCTAATGGTATTGACAGCCAGAACAAGAAACCGAATGAAAAAGAGAAAGAAAAAGTCCTCTCCATGCTGGTATAAATCACCGAACCCCAAACCTAAAAAAGATACCCAGGTACAGTACAGTACACACATATCTGACACCCACTGAGGGCTGGGAAGAAAATACCATATATCTAGAGTTATTGGCACAGTGTGGCTTTGGTCCATAAAACCGCTGCGCTCACTGCGCCTATTCCACTCACCCCCAACTTCCGCAACCGTTCGCATGCCCATATTCAATTCGTCGCAACTCATTCGATCATCAAGCATTCAAATAAGAGGGATAAAGATAGATTTATCGCTTTACCGCCGGCCGTACACGGTCTGACTCCGAACAGGCTGGACTGACATGGCCCCGACGCTTGCCCGTTCGTGGTGACAAGGGCAGCGGCTGCGGATTTGAGTAGCACCAACCTTTGTCCGAGCACGTGTGCAGAGATCACACGAGGCCACACCGCCCGACTGTTCCCGCAACGCGCGCACCATGCTTAGACCTGCTCAGCGCCCCAACCCTGGTCGGTCTCGCGCATGTTGGACGGAGGCTCGATGGAGGGAATGAACTCCAGGGCAATATATCCCAGACCGATGAAGCCGACGATGGAGCCCGCAATATAGCGCAGGACGTTGTCGTGCAACATGATCGACCCGACGAAGATGTAGACTGATTCCGGATGTTAGCGCAAACACATACAAAGATTCTATCTCCAACGCAGCGCAAACTTACAGCCACCACGTCCCAGGAAGGAGAAAAGGAAGGACGCGTAGCGGTAGACGTAGTCGGGGACGTTCGGCAGGAATTCCAATCCACCAACGACTGGGCATCGCGGTTAGTCTCGCCCTATTGCATGGTGGTGATGGTGTGAAACTTACGAAGACCAAAGATAATCACATAGACGCCGACAATGATGGAGCTCATGGACGCAGGGAAGAACTGGGAAATACCACCCAGGACCATGAGCACACCAACGACGATGTTAACGATTCGGCTGGGTGTAAGAGTCTCGTTAGCTGCTGTGCTTGCGGTGATGACGATGATGGAGTCTGGAAACGGGTCCGACGTACAAGATGTTGGAGAGATCCATTTTCGCGATTAGGTCGACGCAACTGCGTATATACTCGATGGTGGTGAAGCTTTCTTTCTAGTGGCAGAAGCAGCCGAGTAAGATCGGGAAGAGGGAAGAGTGTCTATTGAGCAATCACGTTAGTTGGAATTCAACGCTCAGGTGAACCTGGCCGCGGCGGAGACGAGCCGTTGTCGCCTATCAGTCATACCTGAGTGGCTAGATGAAAGATAGTCGACTCAGTGAGCTTGACTCCAACCCGCAGCCAGCAGTATCAAGAAAAATCCAGACTCACCTTTGGAGCTAAGAGTCCTGAGCAGGCAGCAGCAAGGAAATGAAGGAGACGGAGAGTGCGGAAGGGAGATCGGAGAGATGGTTGAGGCTTAAGCTCTTTCGAGTTGTCGCGCTGTCGCAAGCTGCGGGTCCGCCAAGGCCAACCTTACCCATGACTCAGCAATCGCCGGATCTGATCGCATCCACGCGAGATTGCAACCAGGCTATGTTTGGTTGTCAGAAATCAGCTACCAGCTATTTTCATATGTGAATGGTGGCTCATGTTGGCAAGAAAATCATTTTTTTAATGAGGCTTGCATGCACATCTGCTTGTCACTACTCAATGACTAAAAGACTCCCACTATCATGGGTTCAAGACAGTCGGGCGTCGCTACAGCCGTCGACGTCATACCTCACGCTAGGTTGCCATGATATCCGCTTTGTGAGATGATAGGGCGTTTTCAGATCCCATGCGATAAATATCTGATAATTGAACAATGTCCGCACGCGCTGTACAACGCTGAAGTCACAAGTCTGTGATACATGACAGACCCGGGTTTCTAATACTCCTGCAAAGCTCAAAGCATGTCAAGCCATACTCCTCGCCCAGTGGACGCGTGCACAAATCGTGCAAGTACAGCACAGTACAGTACAGTAGATCTTCACAACGCCATGAGATCACCCTGCTTCCTCTCAAGCCTGACAGCAGACAGTCCGTTAGCCAGACGGCTCATACTCACACAGTCGCGCCCCAGCTCCGCATAGATCGCCTCCAAGTCCGTGCCCAGTCCGACCTTATCAGCCGTCTCCAGACTGCGCCCGTCCAGGAACGGGGCCATCGAGGGCCAGACGCTCTGGACATTGTTGAGGAAGAGATCCGCCCCTAGATCCCCGAGACCCTTGATCTCCTTGATGAGCTGCCGGGTCTTCTTCCGGTCATTGTTCGCTTTCTTCAATAGGTTGTTGAGATCACCCTCTAATGTGCCTTTAGCTTAGCTCAGGCCAAAATCATCACCCAGATGCGACTCGAGGAGCGCAAAACATACCATACTTATCATTGATCAACTCCACCATTTCCCCCAAATTCGTCGCCCCTTGCTCTCGATACCGATTGTAGCCACCGTCCTTCAGGGCCATCGCCCGCTCCTCCCAACTACTTTCGCTCAGCTTGCGGATATCATGGAAACCAACCTCAATGAGATGGTTGACTGCGCGCTGCGAAAGGTCATGGGAGATCGGACGCGACTTGAGCATCGCATCGATGACCATCGCGAGCAGCGTCTCTGGTGAGCCATGCAGGGTTCCTTCCGCAATTGTTGTCCCGTAGAGCGGGAGACGCCCGTAGTCTTGGACCGCTTTTTGCAGCTTCGGCTTGCTGATCGTTGTAGGGCTTTGTGGTTCTTCGGGAGTGGGCTCTTCTGATTTATCCTCTTCTTGATCAATATCCTTCTCCTCTCCCCCCTCCTCCTCCTCTTCTTCTTCTTCTTCTTCTTCTTCTTCTTGTTCATCACCTCCATCATCCTGCTCCAAAGCACCATCCTCATCCTCCTCATCATCAATACTCTCAACCTGCCCATCATACCCATCATCCTCCTCTTCCGCCACATCCTGAATTACCTGCTCCTCAGCATCATCCCCTATCCCCGCATCTTTCTTGACAACCTTGCTAGGCGGCTGGTCACGTTCCCTCTCAACACCAGCGCTAGCCTGTCCAGTGCCCAACTCATCACCAAGATCCCTCTGATCGAGTTTGCGCTTCGGGGGGATGGTGGGCGTGCCGTCCTCGGTTTCGGGATAGTCCTCCACCTGCGGGGATTTGTACTTCATTTCGGCGGCCTAAACCCTAGATATTCAGTGAGCGGTAACAATAGAAAGACAATTTCGTTTAGTTAGAAGTAGGAGAGGAAGATGCGTGATAGCCCAACAATGCTAACTATACAAATTGTTTTGGTCCAAAGCATTCGTCTTTACGGAGTGTGAGTCTGGGGAAACCGGGACTGATTGTGCTCGTATGATTTCTCCGCGGACGATGATGGCGTCATCATGAAACAAGAACTTCCCCCGGTTCAACCCCACCTCCGCCCCGGGCCTATTCGCGATCAGATGTTGTTCCGGGGGCAAAAGCGGAAGCTTGGCACTTTCGTGAAGACGATCTACGGTCTTTCACTACGAGATCCATTATTCGTGAAGATAGACAGATGCTTTGATCCTGGATCTACATGCAAACATGCAAGTATATACACAGAAAGCCCATCGCGAGTACTCGCATAAGTAAGCTAAAGCTTGGCACGGCCGGACAAAGAGCTCTGCACCAAGCGGACGGCCTCCTCCGCGCAGCCGAACGAGGCCTGGTACCCGAACCCGCCATGACCGTAGTTGTGGACGACGGCGACGCCGTCGATGCGGTCGGCGGCGACGCGGGGCCCGCCCTCGCGGAGGGGCCGCAGGCCGACGCCGTGGCGGATGACGTCCAGGCCCTCGATGCCCTGGCCGTCGCGCACCAGGGCAGGGCACAGCGCGACGGCGCGCTTCATGATGCGCACGGCCAGGTTGGGGTCCGGCAGGGGGTCCCACTGGTGCTTCTGGTAGGAGCCGCCGATGACGGTGCCGCCGCCCGCGGCGCGCGTCATCATGTAGACGACCTCGTCCTCGCCGTCGTCGGAGCCCGAGATCGACACCATCTGGCCCGGGTCGTTGCGCACCACGACGATCTGCCCGCGCGCCGGGTAGAGCTTGGCGTCCTGGACGCCGCCGAGCGTGCGGGACGCGAGCCCCGTGCAGTTCACGACCACGTCGGGCTTGTGGCCCGTGTGGTGGTGGGGAGTGCTAGCAGCGTCGCTGATGTGCTTGAGGACGCCGCGCTTGAAGACCACCCCGTTGCGCCGGCATTGGCCCACTAGCCAGGGGAGGTAGATTGCCGTGTTGATGCAGACGGAGGTGAATTTGGAGGCGTTGTCGATGCCCGCGGCTAGCTGGTCGGCGGGGATCTCTTGGAACTGGTCCGGGTTCGTTAGCCTGGTTGTCTGGCGGGGATCGGGGTGGGTTCAAGGGTACACACGTCCGGCACAACATCCTTATACCAGGGGTTCTTTTGCACCAGCTCGGAGAACCAGTCCCCGGTTGCGGATCCTTGGTCTTTGGTGCGGTTGTAGACGATTGTTTCTGAAGGCGAGTTAACTCCAATGGCAGGATGGGGAGGGGGATAAGTGATGTTCATGCCTTGGAAATGAAGTCCTGCCTCGGGATGCTTCTCGGTCAGCTCCTTCAATGCTGGCCAGGTGTTGCGCTCCCATCTCTCATGGTCACTTCCACGCTTGCCCACACTGCCATTTGTTCAGTCAGTACGCTGGACTCCATTGTCATCATTATTCTTTGCGAAGGAACGTACGGGAGATAATTGGCCCCAGCCCACGGGGAGGCATATTCTATATCATAGTCGCCAGGCATGTGCTTTGCGAGGACGGTGATACTATTCGAGGGGTCCTTCGAAAGAAGATACGCAGTGGTCAATCCAGACACACCGGCTCTGAGACCAGAGATCAGTATGAGCTCCGCAGACAACAGGCGGGGTCAAGCATACCCCAGAACCACGATCTTGTTGGTCGCCATTGGAACTGCTACTGTTGGGTGGTGAGTCTATCGAGTCAATGGAAGGCGTATCCCAAAGGAGTGTTACGAGAGTAGGCTGATAAATAGGCGATTATTTAGTTGCTGTGAGTCAGTTAACTAAGGAATGATAACTAACACTTCCCCTGCACAAACAGAGCTTATCGCATGCGGGCAATTGGGATGCGGTCCGGGTTGATAAGAGAGAGTCACCCCCGCTCAGCCGGGGACTAACTAGGTAGAGTAAGACTGGGGGGGGCTGCCCGCCAAGCCGGAATGCGACAACCCCGTCCTCAGGCATCAAGACTGGATAGGATAGGTCTCGATGGGATCTTTAGGCGGCACGCACTCAATCGCGTTGACGTCATATCTCGAGAAAGATTGCAAAACGCGAGCACAGTCTTTCTCCTGCCAATCATCTTAAGATAGGATGTGACTACTCGATCAAAAGGCTCAAAGCACAGGCAGGGTCCATTCAAAACGGCCCCATGCTCCACTAGATCAATTGGCAGCACTACCATTGGAGTCCGATCACGGACCGAGTGGACAGCCGTCTTCGCCGAAAAGCAATGAAGTCAATCTGGTCAGCGAAGCAGCGTGACACCTACTGCCATCGATCTGGCAACCATTCGCCCAGGAACGGAGCCATTGACTCGCTGACAGCTCACGTCCATGATGTGCAGTTATGTCCGTGTTCTGCAGCCTTGCTACTACAGACATCCAAGTCCTTGCCAATAGACCGTCCGACAGGTCACTTCATGCACCAACAACGCAGAAGGATCCAATAGCGGAGTCGCGTCGGGGGGGGGCGATCGCGGTTTAACCGTTTTATGTGAATTGGGCGGTGTGTTTTGAGTGCTTGACTGCCTAAGTGCTTTCTCCAAGATTTCCCTCCTAGGTCAAGGGCACTCTCAATTCATCACGCTTATTCGGTTGTGGGATCGGATTTGAGGATGAATGAAGCGCGCAATCCATGGACGAACGTGGTAAGTTACAGTAAGGAACGCGTCCTCATTTGATGGACTCGGAGAGTGTTGTGGGGAGGGGACTGTGTGTAAGGATTGATTACCGATCTGCAGAGCCCGTTACCGATAGGGTCTTTCAGGCCTCTGGGCATTGAAAGTGGGCAGACAGTCTGAATGAGGTGGCTTCCCCTCATTGAAGAGAGGTGAATATGTTCACAACCGGAAGCTTGGAGCAATCGCATGGCTCTGACCGATTCAGGGTTGGGCTGGAGTGACCGCTCCCCGCGGATGCGCAAAAAGACTCGATTGAAGAAGAGTACGGAGTACTACTACTATAGGTCGGTAACCACCTAGTAATAGCTTTGTATACCTTTCGTCATCGACTACTACCGCCCCGGTGAATGACCCAATCATGAGTTGATTATTAGCTCACCGCCTCTGATCCCGGAGCGTAATAAAAAAAAACCTTTGGTAAGAGGGATGTACGTACGAGCATAACAGACGCCTCCTCCGCAGTTCGCCGTCCGAAAAGAAAAGTCTCGCGTGTACTCCCGTAGATCGTGTGTTGCTTTTCTTCCTCCCGCCTTTTCTTCCTTCCCATTTACCATTCTCTACTTTATTCCTTGCCTGAATAACACTTTCTTCCCTTTCTACCCCCCCTCCCCCTCTCCCTCCTCATTTATATCAATAGTGACTATTTTTCTCCTCCCTCTCCCCCTCCCCACATTCTTCATCTCTTATTTTCTCTCTCTCTGCTCGACGAACCTCTCTGTATCTTGTTGTTCGTTCCCCAAATGAGTGCATCTCGTCGAGCAGACACTATAACCAATTATGGCGGACGTTCCGAACGGTGGCAGAATTGTGCCCATAGTCGCGGCCCCCCGTCAGCATTATTCCAGTACTCCCGCCGTTGAGTCGGTGGGCAATCAACCTCAACCACAACCAAAGCCCTCCAAATCCTCTAGAAGTACGCGCCAAAAGGCCGCCGAGGCCGAATGCTTGGAGATTCCGTGTCTCAACGAGCTAGGGCTCTATGCGCTCCCGACCGAGGGCGACGGTACGTTGCTCTTTGCCCGCCATTGGCCAGCTAGCTTGTCCCTTGGCGCTCCTACTCTAGTGTGCCCTGTTTTCTGACCGTCAATTGTAGGCAATTGCCTGTACTATGCCCTTTCCGATCAATTGTACGGCGACTTCCTCCACGCTGACCAAATCCGTGTTCGTCTCGCGGATCACATCTTGGCCAACAAGGATTACTTCATGAGCTTCATAGCTGCGGCTGGCGGAGAACGCAGGGCACCACGCCGCGCAGCAGCCAAAGCAGCCAGGCAAACCTATTGCTCCTCGTCATCAGCCAGTCCCGCGCCCCTCTCGGCCCGGGATAAGGAGCGTAGCTTCGACACCAGAGTGGCTGAATCGCGAAAGAAAGGCGTCTGGGGTGGCGCTGAAGAGATCCAGGCATTCTGCCAATCTTTCAAGAGGGATGTGGACGTCTACACGATGTATGGAATCCAGAACTTCCGTGATGTTCACGCGCCCGTCGATGAACATCGAGAGAAAGTGCACATCGCATTTCACGTAAGTAACACAAACACTATGGCGTAGGTGACGTTCTAACCCTCCGCGTAGGATTTTCATCATTATTCGTCGGTCCGACATACGAGCGGGCCGCATACTGGACCACCTTCTATAGCACCCATTGACAAGGAGCGTCAGGAGGAAGCTTCTTCCGCCAGCTCGACTGTCGTGGACGTGGCTACCCCGTGGAAAATCTCGGCCATCCAGGAGGGTCTCGGGGGCAAATACGACCGCGAGACCATTGTAGGCATGCTGCAACAGTGCCGTGGTAACATCGACCGGGCTTTTATCAACCTGATCGGCGAAGACGCCAACTGTAGCGAAGCAGATGCGCCCACCTCGAAGGCTATCATGAAGTCGCGCCTGCAGCCGTCTTCGCGATCTTCATCTCCATTCAGTACGGGCAGCAAACGCTCCGCGGATGAAAGCGAAGCTGAAGAGAACCCCCGGCCGGCCGTTCGGCGCACGCGGGTTCGGGAGAATAAACGACGCATTCTTCCCGATGTGACCGTCGGAATTGCCTTCAGAGATGATCAGAACGATCTTGTTTCTTTGCGACTGCGGGTTAGTCCTGACACAGTTGCACCCAAGAAGCAGTCCACCGGCAGCACGACCCCCGAGCAAACCGAAACTAGTTCCTCCTCGGAGCCAGCCAGCGACGGCACCGATGCTTCGAAGAAGGACCCCAAGCTCAAGATTAAGTTCCGAACGGCAGCTTCCGCTCCTACAGAAACCGCTAGTCGACAGCCGACTGAACCTAGTGAAGAGCCCAAGGCCACGCTGCGACGAAGCATACGACTGTCAAAAAGTCGCAACCCCCCCAGGGCCGGTTAAGATCAACCACACGCACCTCATACCATTTGCCAAATTCTATTCAAAATTAGCAGAGTGTTACCACTCACGCATACGAAGCTAACGACCACCATTTACTTTCTCGATACATGGCACCATTTTCTGGCTATTGCATTATCAAGCGCGTTGGGTGTTTGGGGCCTTTTAGAGCGTTGGGCCCTTGCTTACTTTTTCTTCTTCACCATACCCTCCTGCATACCTGCATATTTGCATATGAGTGCTTCATGCATGTTACTAGCGACGCGACTAGACCTTGTTCGTGGTTCTATCATTCACCACCACCATCATCATCATCGTCCTCCTCCCCATCTTCTTTATACCTCACATCAGACAAGATCTTCGGAAGAAGTCCGACTTTTTGAACTCTTTATGATACCACTATACTTCAATGATTCGATACATTACCTCCGCCAGACGGACACATGCATAAATCTCTGCTGCCTCACCCCGCAGTGTGACCCGCAATGAACATAATATCTCCGCCTTGTCTTCATCATCAGGCGTTCTCAGGGCGCCCTGACCGGCCATTCCTCTGTACTTGATATCCCCAAACTAGCATAAAGATGACGAAACTTGCATACACTTGTGGGCAGACTAAAGGATCGTTGCATGATGCATGATAGATGAAATCTGAAGAATCGCTTACTTTCCGGCTTGCATGGCCTTGACTTGCTCGGCAGCTTTGCTTCATATCCTCCAAGAGCACTGATTCACGTAGGACCCAAACAAAAACATAGACAAACACACAAGCATTTTCAACCGAGAAAACCAACCCAGTCAAACAGACCCCTGATCCCTGGAGCGGATAAATCCTGCGCAATGACCGTAGCCGGGGAAGAAATACTCACTGTACCCAGAAGTATTTGATGCACATCCACAACGGATTTTGTTTGTAGGTAGTGCAGTGCTTCACTGTAGTTATCTGTTTCACTCTCATCGATAGAGAGGCAAATCACCCGCAATCTGCAGTGTGTATACGTTTACCATGGTTATCCCGAAAGCACAGGACAGCGTACTGTACTCGGGTGTGTTAACACACTGATCCACGCGATCGTCGAGCTCGAGGGTATACGTATTGAGCCTGTTATCCCCTCTTACCCTGCAGTGCATGCATTATCAATGAGAGAAGAACGGGTTAGTCGGTAGTTATTCGCAGTCTGGAACATTACAGGGAAAGTGAAATTAGGGGTAGAAAAATCAATCGAATATCGGACAGAATATCGGAAGGAACCGGGGTATGAGATGAATTGAGCAAGAGAAAGAGACAAAAGGAGGGGTGAGATTCCTTGGATAGAAGGAGGACGTAAAATTCTGAGTTTTGCCAGGTTGTACGGTGATTATTAGTATATCAGTCTGAGTGGTAAGGCTTGGCTAGCTTGGCGTAGCGTAGCCTGAGTAGCCTAGCTTACCTCCAGGCTCGCAAAGCCCCTCTATCTATTTAGAAATGAACTTCGACACTGGCGGGAGCATCCGCATCCTTCCTTCCTAGACTGAGCTGGGGATAAGGGTTACGCTGTGGCATGGTACGGATGGTGGTGGGTTGGTGGGTAGATTGGAATCGCTCGGTTAGAGACCTGCTACAACGGATGGCGGCTGGGCTGGATTAGAACAAACGACTAAAAAGCTGGGGACAACTCAGTCTACACCTGCTGGATAGTAGCTGTACTCTGGACAGCAGGAGATAGCGTCGAGCGTGGACCTGTCTACAGTCCAGTAATATCTTTTGAATCGACCTTGAGCCACGTGCACAGTACTGGGTCTGGTAAACATCCTCAGCAAGCAACGGAATAAAACATTTCAATAGGTTCATGATAGTTCATTAACGATTAGCCTTCTATGCATTAGCAATATACAAGATCTCTCGGCGGCTGACAGTCACAGAAATAGAAAAGAAAGAAGCGCGGGGGTATATGTGAGACAGTAAAGAGAGAAGTCATGGGTAGGCAAGTCCGGAGATCCGAGGCTGGGAAACATAGTGAGACAAAAAGATCGTTAGGGTAAGCGAAAGTGATAGTAAAGCATAGATCGTTATACATCCACCACCAATCGGCGCTGGCTGGTGGATTCGCCGTGATGCGACGACTCCTGGATCATCTCCGTCCGCACTTCAATGCCACCAAAGGCACCGCCGGCTGCACCGACATGGCTGGCCTCGCCGGACTTGACGTCAATGGTGTACATGTCGTAGTCGCGGTCCTGGGAGTAAAGCTCGACCTTGTGGCGGTGGGACTGCGCGGTCATGCGGGTGGCGGTCATGCGGCTGACAGACACGGTGGGATTGCGCGTGTAGCGGTTGTAGCTGTTGGTGGACAGGAACTTGGGGAAGAGGCGGCTGACGATGGGGCGGAGGAAGGGCAGGCACGCGCAGATGATGGCGACATTGCATTCTGCGGCGGTCCAGTAGGCGGCGCCGACGTTGCTCCCTGATTGATGATGGTTGTCAGCAAGGACAGTGATGCCAGGTCGATAGAAGGGGACTACTCACAGGAAGTGTCACTGTTCTGGGCGACAGAACGCAACGAGGAGAGACGCAGGATACTAGTGATAACGACTCTATACAATGGGTTAGCCACAAACTCAAAACTGAATTGGTAGGTTGGAAGACACGCACAGTCCACCAATAGCGAAAACACCCATGAGCGCGAACTTCTGCGCTCGCGGAAGCTGCAGTTGCGACAAAAGAGGCATCGGCAACACCAGCAATGTCACGTCGGTGGCGATGTTCATAGAGGCGTTGAAGAACCAGATCGCTTCGAAATTGAGACAGTACCCCGAAACAGTGCGATCCCAGAATCTGGAGACCGGCACGCAGTTCAAGAAGCCGCTGACGACCGCCCACGTTCCGTAGGTAGCCACGATGCCTAGTACAACGTAACAGGCCAGTCGAAAACGGCGGTCGGGGAAAATTCGCAAGTATTGGAAAAGAATGGAGAACTTGGTGAAGATCAGGCTGGCGTTGTAGAACGGGATCGCAGCCCATAGTCGCTAAGAAACCAATTGTTAGTTATTAGTTCGGTCTGCGTGGCACGCTCAAGCGCCTTACCTTCAGCTGCTCCTTCAGAATACGATCTGGAAGCTGGGAAGAGTGTATCCCAAGTCCGAAGTGTACCTCTGGAGTATATTAGATGGGAGTCGCTCGGTGTGACAAGCTCTGAGGTCTTACCAGCACCAACCAGGCCAAGGTATGTACACGCCAGTATCTGCCAGGTGCATGTCAGTAAATGTCCGAACTCCAATCACGTCGTCCAGAGAGGCATACCAGAGATATGAGAATCATGTAATCCTCGCGACCCTTCAGTTTCATCAAACCGAGACGCGCATACATCCGCATAGCGACAATAACAACTGAAAAGCCGGTGAGCACGGCTGTCACCACCAGTGCTCGTTGACCACGTTCTGCACCATCTCCTGATATCCTGGGAAACAAAAGATGTTCTCTGGTTATGTCCATATTGGTTTGATTGTGGTTAGTGGAGGGAATGAATCGAGTAGGTAGGGCCGTGGGGTGGGAGCTGTAAGCAAAGAGCGTTTTTCTGAGTATAGGTGGCTGTGGCGCCCGCTTGCTGAATGTCCGACGAGGTGAAGTAGGATGCCCTCTCCAGGTTTCGCAACCTAGATATCAGGATGAGGTAGACCGCATGGGTTCAATTGGAGATCAATGGGGTTAAAAGAGAGTGGGTGGGTTGGTCGAAGCGTCTGCAGTAGAGTTTAGTTGGAAGGAACCGGTGCGGTAACGACATGGCTTTTATTTGTACAGTTCCTTTTACTACTCGGCCTATGGAGACGATCCCCGCACTGGCTCAAAGTTTGATAGTACTCAATAGCGTAAGAGAAGCTGAAAGAGGGCTGATGGGCAGCATTGTTCCTTGTCGAGTGAACGACCTGAGCTCGGTCTTGTCCGGGATGTGGTTAGGAGCTGAGGGGGGTGCCATTCAGATTGTAGTAATGATCTATGCGACTAAGCCGTCGGGCTCCACCGGTGTCGTGGGCAAGGTGGAGGAAGGCACGAGGTTCGCAGAGAAAATTAGTCAATGGCGATGCGTATTTAGCAGCAGACCCAGAATCGATGGCTCTCTGGCACCTTCCGCCCTGTCAACTGGTGCCTCGTTCCGGGCTTTCGATCCATGGAACGTCGCCATAGTCTTACTCGACTCTCTTGTATAACTGCCCTGTGCGGTTTAGTGCTGCTCGGCAAGTGTTGTGCGGTCAAGAGAGTGTTCATGAGAGGTCAGTCTCCGCTCCACAGCGAGAAAGAATCTGATTATTTGCTCGTTTCAAGTTGAATGTCGATATGTTGAGTATACGACCATCAATCTAAACGAATCCGAGGTCAATTCTCGCGCAATCTCAACTAGAAGATCAGTTGGGGATCGATAATCTTCGTCACATCTTAAGCAAGTCTTCCACACTATCCTTGCTCTGAAAGTTAATGCATGATTCATGTGCTTGGTTTCAGATCGCGGCACGAATCATCATACCCGATCGCGCCGGTGTGGATTTAGCATGCCTGGCAAGAGAGTTTTCTCCTACTGCAAGCTAAAGTGGTATGATCGTGCGCCTGCACTTGCTCGTGGTCAGAACTAGTCTTCCATATTATGACCAGTCAGAAATCCTAGAGGTGGAGTGTTTGGCGAGTGGCGATATTTATTTTCTTTTCAATACGAGGACTCTGCTTGAGTCTCAACCATAAGAAGGGTCCAGTCCGGCCAACAGGGCTGATAATTTCCGCTTATCAACAACAATGCTATGCACCCGGTCTATCCAAGGCCGACCGAGAAGTTGGCGAACCATTGCCGATTGTGATGGCGGTTTCTGTGCGGTGCTTTGACGAGCACTTGTCCTCTGAACACATTTGGGTCATGATAGGCACCAATTGTCACCACAGTGGAGCGCGTCGCCTCTAGTGTCCGAAGTGGCCGCGATCTTCGACAGCAATAGCCTTTTTAGGACAATACTGCTCTAGACGTTGATAAATTTCATGGTTAATTTTCCATGGCTTGCGACCATCCGGGGAATTTCTGCCAGGGCAGGAGACCATTCTCTGTCCAGTGGTTGATCGGCAGATGGTGAGAACCTTCGTCTGCAAACCTCGATAGACTGTGTGTCCGCGCGCGATTTACTCTGCAGGCCCTCGCTCGATTCCAATCCCTGGCCTACCTAGCCCGCAGCTAAATCCGGTGTCTACGTTTGTCTCAGAAGAGGGGGGGAGTTGTGTGTCAAGGGGGGCGTTAGAACTGTGGACCAGAAGCAAGTCATAAAATGTCGATCATATGGGACTTAGTGTTTCCTGATTCATCTAAAATCTTTAGGTCTGATCAATTCTGCTGTGCCTTCAAGCTGAGGTCGTGGACTTGTTTTGGCCGTTGGAAAACTGTAAATCAGTGCGCCTGCGGTAAGAAGGAACACCATCATTGTAAGTAGCGGTCTTTGTTATCGCGTAAGGTCTGGGTAGATTTTGGGTAGTATGTCGAACATGATTCCAGGAGGAGAAAATGCGACAGCGCTTGGAACAATTCGATTCTGCAGGATCAAGGGTCCGCCACCACACGTGGGCGAGAAATCTCGTGCGGCCCCAGCACATCTCCCACGTTCGTGAAAGAAATGCTTCTGGTCGGGTTCCCAGAAGATGACATACATCATTTCTGGGGCAACGACCTAGCATCCGCTGTCGGCATTCATTATTATGTCCTGTTTCGACTTTCGAGTGCTTTTGGGGGTTTCCCGGAACGCTGGGACGCAAAGATTCGGTGGTGATCATCAATAAACAATGAGGCCTCAGATGCAGGTCCCAGGAGAAAAAGAGGGGGATGAGGCGTCGATAGCGCGGCGCTATCACTGCTAGAGACGGCGAAGGATTGCACTACCACGCAGCTGGTATGAACGCCCATTGTCAAGACTTGGCAAATGATGTACATGGCTTGGAATAAGGCTTTTCAGTACCCCATCACTGTCCAATGAGGACAAAGGCTTCCTGGGAGATGGCGAGGCTCTAGCCTAGTCTGGTCAATAGAGATGGCTGAATGGTGTTGCATAATTATTGAACGCCGTGGGATAAATAAACGTACGCTCCCACTAGACTCACTGACTCGTGCATCTGTAGGTTTTGGGGAGCGTTTGTTGTTCGCTGAATGGCTGGCAGAGTGTCCCTAGCTTGGTCTGAACAAGATCTCTTGAGCTGTTGAACTGATTTGGCTCCTTATTACGGTGGTCGGTGGTGGTGTTGACAGCCTTGCACTGCGTCGAGCTCGAAAGGAAACTCGACTCGAGGATCGTCGCGTGGGGGGCGGTTTTGGCATGGCCCGGTCAGTGTCAATTATGTCACCGCAGTCAATTAAGCCGCTGGGCTCACCGAACCGTTCTCTTCCCATGAGCCAGCTGTCATTGGCAGAAGATAATCAGGCTCTGGGGCCACTGTCAAAAGTGGACGATGATCGCTGGCTGGAGGAAGGAAAGAAACAGTGACAGAAGGGGGAAGGGGGGAGACGAAGCGGTCAGTCAGTGTCAGTCAGCCGACGGACAGACAGCAAGCGATGTTTATCCCTGACGATCCACGGGCTGTGGAACAACAACAATCAGAACAATAGCAACATTCTACTCTTGAATTGACTGTTTGCCAGATCACAACAGTACAGGGTAATGATCTACACATTCTATGTTCGGCGAATTGGATTTTCTTACAATGGAAAAGAAGCACACAGCACTCTATCATTTACCCTTTTTTTTTATCATTATCCAGTATGGAACTAAAACTTCTACGTTCGGCATCAGCTTTTTTTCATGCAATCAGTTCAAAGCCTAACCCCCCCTCAGGACTGGACTGCTCATCCTCCTCTTCTGACAACTCTGGTAGCAAGGTCAAGGTGTAAAGGTCCGGGCTGTGCGGATCTTGTCGCAGGCCAGTTTTAGCACCGCTTTGGGGCACATTGCTCATAATCCTCATTCGAGTCGGGAAGCTCTCGAGCGAGTTGTCCGTCGAGGCGGTGATTTGGGGAGGTGCCTCATCAGGCTCACAAGTGATTGACTCCCTAAGAGGCGAGGGCTTGCAAGACTTCTCTTTCTCCTTCCTGAAGTGCCGGTTTTGACCCGTCTGTTCAAGCTCGGCGAGCCGCGATCGTTGCCTCTCGAACCAATCCCCGGTCGACGGGAATTTATTATTCTGTACGAAGCCAGTAGCTACACCAAAGTCCTCAAGCAGATAGTCGTAAGGATTGCCGGGGTCTTGCAAACACTCATCGTTGGTTACCCTGGGATCATTGCGCCACCAACCGTGTGGGCTGTAGTACCTGAACGTGAGCTTGGATGCCCATTCAATGAAGTCAGTGATCGTCCCTGGAAGTCTTTGTCCTCTAGTTTCGAGATCAACAACTACCGGGTCTATGTAGACCATAGCATTCTTCATCAGGGCTTTAAGGCGAAGCTCATCCCCAGCTCTGGGGACCTTCGGGTCGGTTAGCTGGAAGAAGAGTGAGATCGCCGGTGGTGTCCGGCTCTCTTGTGGGACGGGATCCCCAAACCAGTTGAAGTGGTGGACTGACTCGGACTCGTCTACGTGGTTCATGTAGGCCTCACGAGCACTGAATTCATGGTCAATTTCGACCCTGATGAGCCTTACCTCGGCGCTCTCCACGTCCTCGCTAAAGGCCGGTGAAGGGGCCAATCCCCCATAGTCATTACGTGCTGCTTCTTCAAGCTCCATGCCATGACCATCAGTATTTAGACTCTGGCTTTGGTGAAAGTTATTCAGGTTGTAGCCGAGACTCTGGTAAGCCCTTTGGATAGCGTGACTCCTCTTAATTGACTCATCATTCGCCTCGGTTGCACTCCAATCCATGCTGGTGCCAGCAGATACCTCTTCCTTCTCACTCTCTAAGGGCCTGTCGAAATCCATTTCATCGAAATCGTGCATGAGCACTTCGTCTGACACTGTTAGTGTCTCTGTCGAGCTGGTAGAGCTTATCTCGTCTCTCGAAGTCATATCGTCATCCGAAGCTTCATCCATCCAGTTGAATGGCGATCCAGGCTCGAGGAGCTTCCTGTAGGTCTCCTCTAGTTCAGTAAAACTCGTTATATGGTTATTAGACATCATAGCACTTACGTTTCTGGCTCTGAAGTTAATATCCTGAGGATCCATGTTGGCGATCAGACGCTAAATCGTTTAATTCCTCGCAGTACTCGAAGTGTTCACCTTTTGAATATTTATAACCAGGCTCTAGCGTCTGTCTTGAGTCAGACAAAGACAAGGGTGGTCAGTGAAACCAAACCGCGGAATGGTGATTATCATTAAGGAGAGGTCATTACTATGTCATGACTGACACCGCCATTCCCGTTTCTCCTTGATGATGCATAGAAGCGGTAACTTGGACAGCCACATCGACCGTTGTATGCAACAATTGGTTCTGGGTACTCTTTCGAATTACGATCTGTTCGCGTTCGCAGTTATCGTATCGAAGGCTTTTAGGATCGAGAAACTTCGAAGTCATGGCTGGGATAGCAATATATTCCGGTTGTTGGTGTGTTTGCACCCACATGTCAGTGCTAACGCTGGTAGATAGTAGGTCGCTAGATCTGATCCCGAGCTCTGACCATGCTATGGGCTCATCTTAAGTACTGCTTGGTTATGATGTTATGATATCATGCAAGGCACGAGGAGGAACCCCGGAGTTAGACAAGTCCGGCATTCAAGTTGTGTGTCTTTGTACTGTCTCCATGTGGTAGGCTGGGATCAGAGAATGACAAAGAAACTTTCATGAGTGCTTGTAGACCACAATGGCTTTGTTTTGCTGCGCGATGACCAACATTGTCCTGCAGCCAGCAAGCAGATTTTCGAGTCGGCAGAGTTGTATGCGGTGCAGCAGGGTATCGGGGAAGGAACTCCGATGTGTCGGGGCGACCTTCAGCCGGCTCAAAAAAAGGGCCCCCGCCGAAATCGCGAAAGACGGATTCCCCCGCACGCAACGCCGACGTTCGGCCGTCTTCGATTCCATTTAAAGCCAACTGAGCCCCCCCCTTATCTCTCGTTATCCTTCTGACTCATTTCTTTAAAGTCTGCCTTATGCGTCTGCTTCGAGCTCTTCTCACCTCCACCAGATCCCTGCGACAGCTTCCCTTGACGACCTCCCCCGGGAACATCTCCGCATTCACCCCACTCACCCGATCAACCCCGTTCCAGTCCGCGATCCAGCCCACTTTCATCAGACGCACAATGGCCTCCACAATGGCAAAGCGCCTCGAGGGCAAGACTATCGTGGTCACCGGTGCTTCGTCCGGTATTGGCCGCAGTACGGCCAAGGAGTTTGCTCGCACCGCGCCCAAGGACCTGAAGCTGATCGTGACGGCCCGTCGCATCGACTCTTTGAAGCAGCTCGCCCAGGAGATCAAGGAGGAAGTCGGTGAGGGTGTCAAGGTCCTCCCCGTGCAGTTGGATGTTAGCAATCCCGAGGAGATTAAGAACTTCGTGCCGTCTCTGCCCGCCGAGTTCCAGGAGATCGATGTGCTTGTGAACAATGCGTGAGTCGACGTTACGCCCCTCTCCCTGGACAAGGTTCGGCCTTGTGCATTTATGGCCCAGGCAAAAAAGTGAGACAAAAGCCTGGCTGACACTCAAGAATCAGCGGCCTTGTCAAGGGTGTCGCCAAGGCCCCCGAGATCGACGCTCAGGATATCGACGTCATGTTCTCAACCAACGTGACCGGATTGATCAACATGACCCAGGCCATTCTCCCCATCTTCCAGAAGAGATCCGACGGCGGTCGCGGCGATATCATCAACATCGGTAGCATTGCTGGCCGCGAACCTTACCCCGGCGGAAGCATCTACTGTGCCACGAAGGCGGCCGTCCGGTCCTTCACCGACGCATTGAGAAAGGAGCTGGTTGCGACGAGAATCCGCATCATCGAAATCGACCCCGGTCAGGTGGAAACCGTGAGTCGTCTGCCTGAGAGCTCCATAGTGGTCTTCGTTCTGAATCTTACTGATATTTGTTTGTGCTGTACAGGAGTTCTCCGTGGTGCGATTCTACGGTGACAAGGAGAAGGCTGATGCAGTCTACGCGTATGATATCCCCAGCTGGAGATTGTTTACACAAATGAGATCAAGGATATACTGATGTGCTCTGTTGCAGTGGCTGCGAACCCCTCACCCCCGATGACATCGCTGAAGTTGTTGTGTTTGCCGCTGGTCGGCGCGAGAACGTTGTGATCGCGGATACGCTGATCTTCCCCAGCCACCAGGTAAGTTCATGGAACTTGGGGACCCAGATGACAAGCGCTGACGCATACTTCACCAGGCTTCTCCGGGAATTATGCACCGCAAGGCTTAGTGATATGCATGATCGATAGAATTGAAGTATATAAAGGCAGGGTACCTGCTACGGTCTGGAAACGATAGATAACGGCTATTTGCAATTTAATCACCATGAACCGTCCCCTCCAGCTTGGCTAAGAAGTAGTCTATCTGCTGTGTGTCGACCTTGTTTAGGCGTATGAATTTGCCTGTTGACCGGTCATTCTCCGCATCCAAACCCCCCTCCCCCTCTCAAAGCAGGGCCGAGGTCCAGTGGAAGTCCGTAATTAGGGCCTGTAGCGTAGGACCAATAATTGGCAAAAGCACGTGGTTTCTATTTCTAGATTGATAATCACAAAGGGCTGCCGACTTCAGAAGAATGGAAATATCACTCGACCCGCCCTCTAGATGGAAATCAAGCAGCGCTTAAACTTTCAGCCTAATCATCTCAATTGCTTCAACACCCCTCTGCTGCCAACCGACGAGAGGGAGATGACCAAATCCCCAAATCTTACTTGATGCATATACTTACCATACTCTATACTCCCCCACAATCCTTCACCAACAAGAACAGCAAGTAAAGAGATATCCAACCCGGATAAACCTGAACCATCAATCTCCATCCACCCCCCGCCTCCCCAAGAGATGACCTCATATGATAAACCCCAGATGAACCCCCATTGCGTCACAGAAAAACCAATATCCAAACCCTAATCCCCAACCAGTTACCGCAAAACAGAAACATCGACATGTCAGTTCATCGGCCCCTCACGCTTCAAGCTCCGACCAATTTTGATTTTTTCCCCTGCATATGACATGGGAGCCAAGACACAGAGACAAGAAGAAGCAATTATTGCCTGGGCCGAATCTCAAAATCTCGACCCAGGAGAGAATGGCGGTCCAGACCTGCTGTGTAACTACCGTACCCGTCAACCGCTAGTCTGGTTTGTAAACTTTAAGGGCAATTGTGCTTGAGACGTTGGAGTTTTTTTTGGGGGGGGTCTGTTTTGTCGATCATTGGGATATATACCTATGCTACCGTATGGTGTGCATACGTCTGAGCCGGGCGGGATAGGATGGTACTAAAGATGGTGGAAGGGACGACAAAGTGATTGTTGGTGGTGGTTTTGAGTTCGGGGGTGCTGCTACGTTTATGTCATTCTTGATGCAGTGGGTTTTGCTTGGGTGGTTGGAAGGCTGTTGCTGTGCTTTGACTTCGTTGGTTTGAACTATATGGGATAAGTTGTTAGGTTGATGAGAGCGTTGCACCGCTCGGCCAAATGGATTGTCAAGACCTCGATCTAGCCGATGGTTCTGCTCCGAAGGATCCTGATTCCTGTCATAGGTGTTGTGAGCTATGGGCTTGTGGGTCTATTCTTGTGTCGCTGCATGGGTACTACATCGTTGGACGGGTCGCTGGTGGTGATGGTGATATGTTCCTACTGCCGACATCCTTCATATTGCCCTTCAGTGCCATCGGGACTGGTCGCGACCGTGGTCGATGCCACTCGTCCTTGGCGTTGCGAACGCGCGGGGGTCCTCTTCCAGGGTACTGAGTCATGTCCAAAGCTGTTGCGATAGAGCCTAGAAGAAAGGCTGATAAGCAGTTGCTAAGCGCCGGTGGTGTTGTGAGTGAACGGGAATGTTGCGGTGAGTGGATGACGACCAAAAGAGAGAGAGAGAGGCCTGTGGTCGGAGAGATCGGTCTGCCTTCCGATGGGTTGGTTTGTTCTCTATAGCCACGCACATCGATGCCAAGCAGGGGAGAGCGCAAGAGGGATGTGCTCCAGAAAGCTAATTTGGGTGATTGATGGACTTGACGTTCCCGGCACATGGTTGAAGTGTGACTGGTAATTTCTCGGATCATGCATCTTATAGGATAGTGAGTTGACGTATATACAACTGCGCGGGGAAGGTCGGAAGATGGGTAAGGTAGTCCGGATAAACTTCCAAGTTGTACTGTACGGTCTGTGCATGTACCAAGGGAAGTGCAGGCCAAGACACTTGTGATGGCAAACTGGGGTTGATAGTTTGGCTACAGTTTATAATTGACATAGGGCAATATTCAATGCCACCGGCATACTGAAAGCGTTCCGATCTAGGACGTTCTTTTATGACGGCATCGATAGCATCAGGAGAGAACCAGGGTTGTTGGCCCTCTATCATCCAGGGGTGGGTTCCGAGGCTACCGAGATTCTGTACTGTATTTACCAGCCGTTGCAAATGGTGAAATGTTTCCCATGAGATGTGAGCTGACAAGTGGAGGTGTGGAGAAACATGAGCTCTCCCCTCACCCTCGGCCTGAGGCTCTGTCCAGAGACTCCAGACCGTCAGTGTCACTGTGACACTGTAGACTAACTAACCGAGTGCTGAGTAGAGTGGTATTGGAGATGGTGCCAAGAACTCCCAGGGAGCCGGAAAACTCAACATCCACGCCTATGATGTAAGCCTACGCGTCTGGATGGAGCTGTCAATTGCAGTGCCTGTCAGTCCGTCGAGCCGACATTGCTTCTAGAAAAGGGTTTTTTTTTATGAGTTCTTGAAGGCTACTACTTTCTACGGACGTATCTGTTGTCCGATAACGATCCCCCTGTGCGGCCTCCATCGTCATCATCAATCACCACAGCGAACCCACTGACTCAGTTGGAACGGGGGATATCCGAGTCGACTTGCAGCCCTTGCACCCTGCGCGAGAGAAGCTCAACGGAGGAGTCGGAGCGGGACGCAGACACCAGGAGGGTCACAGTTGCTCAAGCTGACAGCAGCGTGATTGGCTGTGGGGATTGAAAGCTATCCGTTTGTTTTCCGAGTTGCGCATAGCGAGGTCGCTGAAGGCATTGAGTAAAGTGGTTGGAGACCCTCAGGGGAGACCCGATGGGGCCTCTGGACGATTTAGTGTGTAGAACCTTTTATCGACCGGCGCTAAGAGGTGGAACTGGTGAGATTAATCTATGGCCAGTCCTGAGAGGGACCAAAATGTCTTTGGATCAAGGACACACAGCGATTCAGTCGAGATTGATGGCTCTGTGGCATCAGCCGGGGATGGCAACCTTAAGGAGCGAGATAGAAAGGTAGTAGTCCCCGTACTCAATCAAGTTTCTTATTACTTGGTATTATTGCAGTAAGGCGAGGGAGGGAGGGAGGGTTTACAGTATTTAGCTTCCGTTCAGTGGATAGAGATTGTGATGTGACTGAATCGGCAACCCCTTTTTCCCTCCAGGCTCCTTGGACAACTCCTTCGTACCATGCCACCAATTGATGTTCGTTGCAGAGACTGCTCACGGCCCTAATCTTCTTGCCTTGCCTTCCGCCTCCACTTGCGATCGTCTGTCCTGTTCCTCTTCTTTCCAATCACAGACTGTGATTCTGAGCTTTATCTTTGACAATTTACCATGTAGACGGGGGATCTCGAGCAATGACGAGGCAGAGGCTTTGAATTGTAGTTGAGCTGATTGCGTTTGATTTCTTTTCTTTTCTTTTTTCTTTTCTTTCACTTTTCCTTTTCCATTTCTTATTGTCTAAATGTTAACAATGACAAAAGGCAGCTAGGATGCGATGATGGCGAGAGAGAGTAATTATTCCCAGTGGACCAATCGCCCGATTAAATAATAATTAAACACCGTCTTGGCTGGGCTGGATTGAACCACACGCGTCGCCGGTTAATGCCACACCCGCCCATCCACCCATCATCCTCTTTCTCGCTCGTTCTCTTCCTTCCCCCCTTTCTTAATTATTATTATTCTACAACTTACCCCCCAATCAGCAGCAACCTCATTTCCAATCTTTTCTACTCTTCTAGTTACCTAGTACTCCGTAGTTAGTGTAGAGTCCGATTCCTAGTCGTAGTGATTGACTCGGAATAGGGTCAATGTCAATGTCTCCGTCCCCACGGTCGCTACAGTTATCCTTTCCAGATCTTAACCTTAGGTAATTAACCTACTTTGTTGGAGATGATATGACGATGATGATGATGATGAGGAGGAGGAGAAGGAGGAGTAACTGGCTCTTTCTAAGCTGATTGCTCTTGCTCTCTTCCTCGATTACTACTCTACTAGTAGGTATACTAGTCGTACTTCGTAGTCACTTCATCATCTAGACTCCTTCTGTCTGGGCTTGTCCTTCCCTGCCATCCCCACTCTTTTTTCTCTCTCTCCGTTCCTCAAGTTGAACTAACGGCTCCTTAATCATCGCCTTCCTTCCTTCTCGGGCTCTGTCTTTCTCCCCTTTCCCCTCTCAATCTCTCCACCCTATCTTTCCTCTCCTCCCTTTCTCTTGACCTCCTTGAATTTGAATCCACTCGAACGAACTTCTCGAAGGTCTTCTTGATTGACTTTGACTTCCATAGACGGTTTAGAATCAGACGAATTGCAGCTTTCCCGGGAGACCACCTGCTGGTTCATCTTCAATTACGCCCGCTGCAAAGTTCCACGAACCACACCCCCCTCCACCCCCCTGATCCTCTCTCTCCCACACACTACATCGGCACATCCCTCCTCTCCTATCGACCCTCTTCCCACCCCCCAGTCTGCTTCTTTAAGCTTGGCCTGTTCACCAGACCCGCCGTTGCTGTGGACTGCCCTTTAGGCGCCTTTACTCTGCGCAAAACTCCCAACGACCTGGGCCCGACCTCTTGACCCTTTGGCAAAGAAAATTGTGTTGTTGCTTGCTCCTTCGACCCGCTTGTCACAGCTCCTGTTGGGATAGCTACGATCACCATTTCTCTTTCCCCCTTCCTTCCCCCCTCCCCCCATATCCCAGCATAATACAGAACAAAGCCTACCAGGATGGCTTCAAAGGTACGCCTTTCTCCCGCGTTCTAATTTCGCCGTCTCTGGTCTCCCTTTCCTTCCCGCCTCCTATATCCCCGATTTACTACCTCGCCGTCGAACCTACAGCAGCGCAGCGCCATCACGACAAATGCTTACAATTGCCTTTAGTTTCTTAGAGAATATAAGCTAGTTGTTGTCGGTGGTGGTGGTGTCGGAAAGTCTTGTTTGACCATTCAATTGATTCAGAGTCACTTCGTGGACGAATATGATCCGACGATTGAGGGTGAGCAGCAACCATGCTTTGCCGTCGCCGACCGATCGCGCAGCTAACCTAGCCTTCCCCTTGCAACAGATTCGTACCGCAAGCAGTGCGTCATTGACGATGAGGTCGCTTTGTTGGATGTTCTAGATACTGCCGGCCAGGAGGAATATTCGGCGATGCGCGAACAATACATGCGGACCGGCGAAGGCTTCCTTCTCGTCTACTCGATAACGTCGCGTCAGTCATTTGAAGAAATCATGACGTTCCAACAGCAGATCCTGCGAGTCAAGGACAAGGACTACTTCCCCATCATCGTCGTCGGAAACAAGTGCGATTTGGAGAAGGAGAGGGCTGTCACAGAAGAAGGTGGGTTATCCAGTCCAAGGTGCTTCATTGCGACGCAAGCTGACGAGCGATTTTCTTCATTTCCAGAGGGCGAGGCGCTAGCACGGCAGTTCGGCTGCAAATTCATCGAAACCTCCGCCAAGTCTCGCATCAACGTTGAGAACGCTTTCTACGACCTCGTGCGCGAGATCCGTCGGTACAACAAGGAGATGTCCTCATACCCGTCCGGGGCGGGCGGCTTCGGCTCCCGCGCCCCCGAGGGCAAGATGGACGTCAGCGAGCCTGGCGAGAGTGAAGGGTGCTGTAAATGTATTATAATGTAATGAACAGGCGTTGGATTGAAAAGGATACACACATGTCGAGATTCGGAAGGAAACAAAACATTATACCTCGGCAGGAAGCGAGATCAGCGATACCCACCATCGTGATGCGGAATGTGGCTTGTCGACGCGTTTGGACCGTGCTATTATACCAGATGAGGCTCGTCGCCCCGATGATGACTGCTCCCGCCCTCATGCCCATGCCGCCATCCTCTCCATGAACGTTCGATTCCCCTTCTGTTTCTCTGTTCTTCTATTTTTTTCTTCTTTCTTCTTCTCTTTTCTTGATCATCTATCACTTCTTATTTCATTTGCAAGATTGGCCACTTCTTTCAATCTGGGTTCTTTTTTTTTTTTAAACGATATTTCGATCTTGGAAAGGATGGAGGGGGGTGGGAAAAGGAGCCTGTTCGTTAGATCTTGTGCATTTTATCTAGGTATATGCTATTGCTGTCGCTAGCATTCTGGTTTATTGTTGGCTTTTCAGGGCTGCCCCCCTGTCCTTCCGTCGCCCGTTTCCCATCGATGCTTCTGCGTGGCTCTCGTCGTCAGGCATCTCGACCTCGACCTCATTTCAACTTAATGCTTAGTTTGCTCCGTCATTTTCCTGCCAGTCGACCCATGTTGACCCCTTCCCACGCATTCGCCATATCTTTTTGTGTACATCTTTCCCCCCTCGGAGACGGTGCCGTACGGAGATACGGGGCATGCGGCCCTTCGAAGTCTGTTAGGAATGAATATTGCCTGATTCTTATGTTCTGCTTGGTGTCTTAGCCATATGGCTTGATTTTCGGTCGATACGGTATGCGCTTGTGCCTTTAGTCAAGTGACGGAGCAAGTCTATCGTCGCCCTTGTTTTTGCTTCGGTGTGTGCACATTCAAGGTATAGTGTAGACTTCCTGTCTTCTTACTTGGCAGGTTCCTGGGTTTGCTGAGTTTTGGTCACTGCGATTGAAGAACGACTGTTTCGAGAGTGCCTTTGCCTTCAACTGTTCATCTGAGACTCTGCTAAAGTTGGCTCATACCATCGTCTACTGGATAAGGAGATAACATGGATGTGACAGCGGACGGTCCGACGGGGCCGGGGCCTTCCCGGCAAACTGGATTTATCTATATACCCCCCCGAAATTCTAGCTCAACGGGGTTGACTGAGACGCTTTTCTAATCTTTTGCGTCAATCATTCTTTTGAAAATTTACTTCTCCTCCTCAGCATCGGAAGGCGGATCCAACTCATCCTCGCGGGCGACCTTCTTCCCCTGGACCTCGCGCTCGACCTCGGGGATCAGCGCGTCCATCAGCTCCCTGTCGGTGCCGACCAGCGTCACGGTGTTGCGCTTGTTGCCCCAGCGCGGGTAGCTGCCGACCTTGACGCCGCGGTCGGCGACGCGGGCGGCCAGCTCGGTCAGGTAGCCGGCCACGTCGCTCTCGGGCAAGGGGGTGCTGAACAGGTAGCGGTAGATGCCCTTGCCTTCCTCCGGGTTGACCAGCCGCGGCAGCAGCGTCGGCTTCAGGTGCTCCAGGAGCCGCTCGAACAGCCGTGGCACCCCCGGCAGAATGTGCACGTTGCCGTTCACGATCGCGATCGGCACCCACATGTCGTCCGCCACGAAGATGGCCTGCTCGTCTTCGGGGAGGGCCGCGTCGTACGGCAGCTCCACCATCCGCAGCTTGGCCGTCAGGCTCGCCGACGGCGTGTCCCAGTCGAAGCTCGGTTGCATGGGGTGCGGTTTCGAGAGGCGCTTCATCCGCTCGAAGGCCGGCGTGTGGAGTTTGAGCGGCAGGGAGAAGGCGCGCGCGATCGAGGCGTAGGTTATATCGTCGTGGCTTGGGGGAAGGTGTTAGTTTGTAGGTGGTTCGAGGGGGAGTGGTTCGAGGAAGCGCCTGTCAGGCAGTACGTACGTCGGTCCAATGCCTCCGCTGGTCACTACAAAGTCGTACCGATCACTCATGCGCCGCACCGCTTCGATGATCTCGCTCTCGTCGTCCGCGATCACCTCCACGCGCTTCAGTTGGATGCCCAGCGAGAAACACCATTTCGCGAAGAAGGCGGAGTTGGTGTCTATTGTCTGGAGGATTTGCGAAGGGAAGTGGTTAGTTGGGTGGTTCGGTTGGTGGGGAATGGGTTTGCGTCGCAGATGGGTTGGGTTGGTTGGATATGGGACACACCACTTCCTTCTCAATTGAGGGAGAGCAGGGTGGTGTGCAGTGGTGAGTAAATAGTGAACGAGATATGACAGGTTGGTGATGAGGATAAGATACTCACCTTGCCTCCAAGTACCTCATCGCCAATGATCAGGCATGCCGCGGTGTGGATGGTGCGTTTGTTCTTCGGGAGTACGGATGATGTCATATTGAAGGATGGGGATGGAGCCCGAGTTCTGAGTGCTGAGGCAGAAGTGAAAGGAATTGAGGACGCAGAAGATGAATTGTTAAGGGCTGGCCGGGTTAGCTGACGGGTGAGTTGACTGAGTCGACTGAACATCGAGGAGGGTGGTGAAAAGGAACGAAAGGAGGACGGAGTGAGTGGATTTCAGGCGGACTAAGTATCAAGCGTGAACGAGCGGGGAGGGGGAAAGGAAAGAAAGTGAGAAACAGAAAGTCTGGAGGGCCGCCAACGGAGGTTCGAGCGGGTGGGGGAGAAAATAGCGGGCGGCCGGCGACCCGTTCCCATCCCATCATTCATCATCCATCCATCCATCCCACTTGGAGCTAAGTCGCCTTCTCGATCGACATCTCCTGCTCCATTTCTGATACCCCCCTCGTTCTTTTCGTGTCTGCACCGCTGGTTGTTCGTTGCCAGTCTTAAAGAGAATTTCGTGTGGTTTGACCCTGGTGAGGTCATTATCATACCAACAAGATGGTGAGGACACATGCCCCGCATTCCCTCCCCCCTCCTTGCCCTTCATCGGTAACCCGTAATATTGACACCCCCTCCTCTCCCAGTCCGAATCTCGTCTGTATTCCTTCTCGCCGGAGACGAAAGAAAAGCTCCGCAAGTTTCGCTTGGGGACCTCGCGCGCCAAAGACCCGCAGGCTGTTATCTGTAGGGTTCCGTTCCATTTCGTTGTTGCCTTTCCCGCGCTCGTTCGAAACCTCCCTCGCCGATGTGGAAGATGATGCATGCAGGCATATCCTGTTCTTCTGTGGCAGCGGTGTCGAAGAGGGAATGGGCTGCAGGTGTTGGTGCTGACTGGTCGGGTCGACAGATATAATCGACAACAAGAGCCAGGAAATCCGCCCCGAGGATGGTGAAGTCTACACGAAGATGGAAGATCTCGCCGACGAGCTTCCCGAGACGTCGCCTCGATTCATCCTTCTCAGTTACCCGTTGACTTTGGTTCGTTGCCTCCTTACCCTTGGTTTCTGCTGCGGTCGCTCGTCGCGGGTCGCTAATATTGCATTTTCTGCTCTGGTCTAGCCGTCCGGCCGTCTCACCGTCCCCTATGTGATGCTCTACTACCTCCCCGAGAACTGCAACCCCTCGCTGCGGATGATGTATGCGGGTGCCGTCGAGTTGATGCGCAACACCGCCGAGGTGAACCGTGTGATTGAGGTGGAGAGTGAGGAGGATATCGTGGGGATCGAGGCCAGATTGCAGAGTCAGAACTGAGTTGGCGGTCCGGGGGTGCAGGATGAGGTGTTGGTATATATCATCTTTCGGGCTCGGGCCTCCTTTGTCGGTCTCTAGCCTGTCTTTTCTTTTGAACTCATATATCGAGCGCTTTTTAATAGTATATTTAGCGGTGTACGCTATTGCTTTTGAGATTGAAAAATCTTTGGCTGGAGATGGGTTCTGGTTCTGCTGGTAAGCTTTTGGTCTCTCTGGTGAGGACGCGGATCTTGAGGTTGATATCGTTGTTCTGGACGGGATAGATTGTTGCACAATCGGTCACGGTAATGGATCTGTAGAGCTGCCAACCTTGCTCTAGCGTTGCTGCTGACTGCAGGTCTGACGCAACAGCCATCCCTCAGAGGGAAACAAGAAGGAGACTACCGGGACTGAGACAGATCTCCTCATGGCACCAAGCGTGTTCCCAGTCGCACCACCATGACTGTAGCAAGGCACACTCGACTATCGGCCCCTCTGCAATGAATGCCTCAGGCGGCAACAAGGTGGCCCATGTCTATAAGGAAAACACATAATCAAAAAGACCAGCCCGGTGCTCGACGATAGGCTTGTTGTCAATCAGATTGACCCCTGGACACGACCCGACAGTTCTTGGAGTCATGTACTGTGTAGCTTCCCAGCCACCCGTGGCACCCCTCAGCCCCGTCCCAAGTGCTTGGGAGCCATGACGGGTGGAACCCATTTCCGGGGAAAAGTTGATACATCAACTTTTTCCCCCACTCAATGTCTGGATGTATGGTACCTTTGAGCCCTTGTAGGTTTAGTAAGAACAGATGATCGACGGTCATCATCTAGGGTGTACTCAGTAGTCTATGCTGTCAAACCTGGACTCCGAAGCCCTGATATCAACGATGCCCTAGGAGGTCAGATTCTGAATTAATCCTCCTAGTATGAAATAGACCAGCACCCATGTCCCGTGTTGACGGAGGCCGACGGAATGCCGTGAAGGCCATTTACAGAGGTAAAGTATCCGTACTGTACCTTGCAATGTGTGATGTGTGATGTATGCTATTTGAGTGATAGTGTCCACTGCTCTTTCATGAGTACAGTATGTGACTCCACAGTGGAGATAAGATGATTCGGACAGACGATCATAGGCTGAATGCATATGTCCAAAGTACTGTACACTCACAGTACTAGGCCGTGGTGGGTAGGAGGCCCAGCTGCTCGTCTGCCAGGTGGCAGGTGGCAGGTGGCCCCGTGGAGCGGAGTCGTTGGGTTTGTTCTTGTTTTTTTATTCTTTTTTTGCTTTCCCATATAGTTGTATCCTTTTACGGCTCTTTCCCCTTCGAACTACGGGTCTTCGAGATGTCTGCCAGTGGTGGGTTGGGGTTCATTGTCCTGGTGAGATTGGGGAGAGAGGGGCAAAGCGAGCAGGGATTAGATGACGATGGCGATGCTGTGATGGGTGGGGAATTGACCCCGAGCACTGGGCTGTCTTTCTTGGTGATGATGATTGGCTTGTGCGGGTTCGAGGGGGGTTCTCTCGGAGATGCATGGCCAGAGGGAGAGGGACCTAGGGTCAGTGGGGATGGATTATAGACAGCCAGCCAGCAATATCCAGAATACTTTCACCCCCCCCCCCCCCTGCATGTGCTGGGTCCACGGTGGTTGACGGTGGCGAAAAGAAGGGATTTGCATTTTGCATTTTGCATTGGGCAGGGAGGGAGGAATTTAGTTTGCGAACCCGGTGGTGTGGTTGTTGGGTTCCTTTTTTTGTTTCGACTCAATCGGGGTTTTTTTGTAGGAATTGGGGAAGGTTGTTTTGGATGATGCCCTACGGCTTGATGATGGCTTCCCCGTTGGATCTTAATCCTTTTGGTACGAGGTGGGTAAGTATGTCGTAGCGATTAAGGTATTGAGTACATGCTTCGTCTATCATACTCTACATGGTGATCACCACGGTCAAGGTCAAGTCTTGACAATCACGAGGCAGGAGAGGGAGATAGAACGGTCCTGCCCCATCGAGGTGGCAGATTTCTCCGATTTGGAGAAAAATGAAGTGGAGGAGCAGGGGTGCATTGGAACTTAAGGTTTCGCTGGGGCTGCTTCGCTCTGACAAATTGTTCCATTCACGGCTTCTTTGTTTACCATACCGTACGCTCAATCGTTACCTTACTCTTCTCACTGCCGGCTGTTCTGCATGGAACCATTGCCGTTTTTAATATAGATTGGGACTGTAGCATGGTGCTCCGGTTGAGTGTCGTGCAGCTGCTATGCATGCGCTACTGTCAATCGGGAATGTCGGGGGAGGAGAGGGTGTATTTTACTGTATTGTGGTATTGGTACCTGTTTTGATACGGAGGTTGTATAAGGTAGCACCGTGTGCTGGCAAAGGCTCGGTTTGATTGAGCAGAACATATTGATATGGTTGAAAGAGGACTCGATTGTGAAAGTTCTTTCTAAGTTATCTTCTGTTCGGTTCATCTTGGACCTGGTATTTTGTTGATGTTCAGATAGAAAGTTGTCACCCGTATAGATTCAATTGCTCCCACCGAGAAACGAAGCTGTCAGCGTGAAGTAGTACTGATGATATCAGCGAATTGTAGGCAGTCCACCTGTCTTAGCATTGACAATGAGCAACAGGCGATCGTCTATACCAGATAGAGCCGGATATAAGTTAACCAGTGCGGAAGCTGTCGAGGTAAATTCGAGGTATGGCCCGTTGTGAACAAACAGGTAAGATACACTGCTATACGGATGCATCCCTACCTATCATACCACCAAGCCTTGCGCTGATATCATCTTGGCCCAGCAGGTCAGCTTCCAGACTCCTGGGTACAGAACAACAAACAAACTCTGTTGCACTCAGCCACATCCCAGGTGTCCGGGAATTAGAAAAAGCAACAGGCAGGAGGTGTTGTCTGTCACCGCACAAGACAGTCGGAATTGCTAGCAGAGTTCCCCGCCAAGCTTAAGAGGATTAAGGAAAGAGAGCCGGGTGGTCGAGACGGGGGTTTCGGGCTGTGTTTCCGAGTGGATGTCACGGCAGTGCACCTCACTGCACTGGGCAGATCTGGATGATTGCCTACGTAGTAACTTTAGTGTCTAGGGACAGTACGGGAGGACTCAGTTTATTAGGTAGTCTTCTCAGAGGCTAGGCTAGGACCCAAGCGCTCCGTCGCCTCGGTTCGCCCGCCCGCTAGTTTAGCCTACCTGTAGTTCAAGGTTGCTGGATTCCCAGGCTTGCAGGAGCAGCAACTTAGCAAGACTTCCAGTTCGCTTGGTCTCCATCCCGTACCTTGCTTACATACCGTCTGTCTGGCACTCCACTCACTGCATAGTCTGTCTCTCTTCTCCCTTCGGCACGGAGCGTGAGTATCTCTTCCCGTGGTCGATACCACCACTTTTCGATTGTCCAGACTCCAGAGTATGTCATGGGTTACTGAATCTGGAGCATCCAAATGAACATTTATTAGCGCTCAGAATTCATTATACCAGTGTCCCTATCGGGCCTGTTTGCTGCTTCTCATCTGACATTGAATATATGACGTCTAGTTAGGTGTGTCTCGAGTATGTATGAAGAATCACCAGACACCGTATCTGCTGCAAGTCTATACGTAACAGTTGCCAGTGCCCAAAATCTGGATAAAATGCTGAAGGGTAAATTTAAACTCATGTCTTCTCAAATACTAGGATAGAAAAATAACCGCAAGCCAGCAACGAATTAGCCATGTGCTACCCATACCCTTAGCCTCCTGCCACATTTGCAACTTAACACTAACTTAACACTTTTTTTTTTTTTTTTTTTTTTTTTTTTTTACTTTTACGCTCTCGTTACGGAGTACTTGACTTGACTTTTACTTTACATACTCTTACCCACCCCCCTCTTGCTCCTCCGTTTCCCCCCTCCCTGCCAGAAAGGTTTGTTCGGCTTCTATTTATCATTTGGCTCGCGCTGCAGTGCAGGTGGCCGTCGTTGCCTGCCTGATTTGTTTATCTTTGCTCTTGCTCGCTTTTTCTCTTTTTGGCGGCCACCAACTCAATTCATTACCACCACCCACCCACCCTTCCCTCCTCTTCACGTTCTTCCCTCCTCTACTACAACTAATTCTACAACTACTTTCTCTTTCACCACCACCACCACCACCACTACTACTACCACAAAACATTGCGCCCTTTCTAATCCCTCCCGTGGCTTCAGTTCTCGTACGCCTCGACCACGCCCGATCCACACGATCTGACCGCCCTTCAGCCAATCAGTCGTGGTCTTCGGCTGCGACCCTACCAAGAGCTCACCGTCTTGCCGGGTGTCCCAAGTCTACGGTTTCGGGTCACGCCCGTGCGACCTGCCAATACTTAATCGTGGTTCCCGCTTTGTCTGTTCTATTTGGCACCCACTCGGTTCGATCAACAACATCCACCCCCCCCTTCCACCTCCACCCTCCGCCCTCCACCCTCCACCCCTGGTCCCGGTCGCCCAACAACCACTTTATCATACTCGGATCGATCATCTCAAACCCGCCTGTCCCGATTCCGCACCTCGACTGTCCAGCGATTGGGATAATATGAATAGACCATTTTGCATCGAGGCCTGGCGCAGAGATTGAGTTCTTTTATACTGCAAGAAAAACGACAACCTTCCATTCATATCACCGACTTGGTTCACCACAATATTAGCCAGTCTCATCCTCATCAGACTGTGCGCCTTTCCGACATGTCGACACAACAGAGTTCCGACCTGTTCAGCGAAGGCAAGCACGAGGGTTTCTCCAAATATGTTAAACGCATAAGAACTGCAATGAGGAGGACCTCTACCATCAAGACATTTCCGTCGCCCGGTATACAGGGGGCTACTGAGGTACCCGCGTCCAGTCAGAACGCTACGTACGTCCGACCTCTCTCCTTTCCCCTTACAATTGTCAACATTGCCCCAATACTTACTTCGGGCCAGCCTGACAGCTACTCCTCTCCCACCTGCCATCAGTGTGTCCCCCAATGCGACCGTACTTTACAACTGGGGAGTCATCCAAGAACAGAAGGCGCGCGCCTTGTTCGCAAAGTATGGACTAGCCATCGAGCCGGGAGAATGGAAGGCTCCTAGCGACATGACCGTGCAGCGAGTGGTAAGGCCGATCCGTATGCGAGTCCGCCGTACCTGCCACCGCTGCCAGACCATTTTCGGGCCCAACAAAGCTTGCGTCAATTGTCAACATGTTCGCTGCACAAGCTGTCCGCGGGACCCCATTACGAAGCCCGACGACAAACAGGCACAGACTGAAGCCGCACTCCAAACCCTCCTGTCGCAAAAGACGCCTGAGATTGCCCCGGCGCCGCGCCAATCCAAAGAACCTCGCCTGACCTTACCCTCACGTACCGGTGGCCAGGATTTGGTCCACAATCCACCTCGCCAGAGAATTCGGCGAACTTGCCATCGCTGCAACACCGTTTTCGCGGCAGATGCTATGGAATGCAATACTTGCAGACACATTCGCTGTACTCTGTGCCCTCGCGAGCCGTACGTTGCGCTATTTCCATTCATCGGAGCTATGCTAACAAGATGTAGGGCGAAGCTTAACAAATACCCGAATGGTTATCCCGGAGACGCCGAGCCCCCCTCGGAACTACCTGCACGGACATGGAAGAAGCCCCGGCAACGGGTTCGATACTTCTGTCACCGCTGCAACAACGTACTACAATCGCGAGAAACCATTTGCTCCCATTGCGGGCAAGAGAAATGTGACGAGACCATACGAGATCCGTAAGTTACTGAAGCGGTTGCTCATAAGCAAGCACGTGTTGATCCATTCATTGCAGGAAACGCAAAGAAAGGCCAAAACCCGACCCTGAGATATCGAAACGAGTCGAAGAACGATTGGCGCATGCGAAGATAGTGAGCACGGGATCAATGGAACGCTGAAACGATCATGGTTACTTCACGCTGCGATTCACGGCCCTAGTAAAATGCTCAACGAGTTCTCTCTTTTTCCCTCACCAGAGCGTGGTCAGCCCATACGGCCGGCCTATTCCCAGATTTCTTGTCCCCAGTCTGGACAGCATGAGAAAAAGCCCAGACGAAGAGCCACCGAGAAGAGTTTGATGGGGGCACAGTAGGGCTGGTCCTAGTGATTGGTGCATCTTGAAGCCTCAATCAGGATTATTTGCCCGTTGTGCAAGGCCTGTGGATATGCGCTTACGATGGTAACTATGCAGCAATGAACCAAACCCACGATGTTACATCGCCGGACTTGCTACGAAATTAGGTCCTTGCAATTTCCAGATACCCTTTTTGGCCGAGGCATTACGTGTTTCTAGACCCAAATTCATTTTCGAAGGTTCGGATGGCGAGTCAGGTGTGATCCGCAATCGAGAAACTGCATGTTAGAGCGTTAGCCGAAGCAGGACTAGAGTGATGGAACCACAACCGCGGGCTGCTGCAATCAAACCTAAATAGAGGGTGATGATTGACAGGACCCGCAATGGTGTTGAAGATGGAAGAAGTCGAGCCAATGATTGAGCAGGGCTGGAAGAAACTGCATCTGTCCTTGGATGTAATCTAAATCATATATTGAGGCCACCCAGTCTAGAATCGGAGGGACGCTGAGTAATGATTAGAGAGGGGCTCCACTGGGCCCCGCTGGGTTGGATTCAGTTCCCGGCGGTTTGGTGACCGTGTCGTCCCATGCCTCGGTCAGGGGAAGGGGGTGTTCTCTTTACATTGTAATGCTGGAGCTATCGCATCAAGTGATCGTAAAACTGTGTGGTGATTATGCAGCCGTTTGCATTCCAACCAGTATATCTTTACAGGACCTCTATAGACCTCCAGGGTATATTCAACCTGATAACCGATAGGTAAGCAGGTAGGTAGCAAGTCCCGAATCATCCGAAACCACATGGTGGTGCAGTCCGATAGAAATCATGCAACCCAGACCCTGTCACTGTCACAACCCTGGATAAATAACACCGTGAATTAATTATACGTCCAGCATGTCGCAATTAGTACCGTAATCCTCTAACGCCGCTTGTCTCCCTAAGCCCTTAATCCTCCCCCAGAAATAACATGAATTTCACCCAGAAACATCCAACCATTGATTTGACCAATTTATTTTAGACCATATCAAAAAAAATAAATCCCCGACAAAACTCCGTCCAACGTCCCTGCACTCGGCCGGAACTCTAGGACTGGGGGGTTTAAACGGGGAACCGGGGGGTTTGAAGAACGGTACCTAGTAGACTAGTTAAGTTACTTAACTACCTGAAGCTAGACTGGAACCCAACCCGCCGGCGCGCACGGATCAATTTCTTTTTATGGATCTATGGGTACGTACCTACTAGGTACCGTAATGCAGATTTTTAATTTGGGGAGTCCTCTGTAAGTCAATTTGAGGGTTGAGGTTTGGGGGTTGATGTCTTGTGGAGGGTAATTTGTATTCACTGTACATTTATACTTAGGCTAGGTGTTGTTGGTGGTGGTGGTGGTGGTGGTGGTGATTACGGGGTAGGTAACTGCTATTTTTCTTTGCTTCTGGCTTCTGGCTTCTTGCTTCTTGCATTTCTTGGGGTAGGATTGTCTGTTATGGGATGGTTGCGTACAGGGGAGGGGGAGGTTGCGTGCGCCCTGCCAGCGCATTTACGCCACGTTCTCCGGGGAGTGTGTGTCTTTGATTCAATATACACTGTATTCCTATACGTATAGTCATTCATTACAGATGACAGTATCGAGACCTAGGCATTCTTCATCAATCTGTATTCCTCTCAGTACTCGCTTGAGATTGGTATTGCCTACCTACCTATACAAGGGTGACGTGGGTGCTCTGGCGGGTTGGGAAATTCATCATCATCATCATCATCATCATCATCATCATCATCATCATCATCATCATCATCGACCCTGAAAAGGGAATTATGCAGTAAGAGATATGTACCTAAGGTGGTACAGTACAGTACATGTACACTGCAACTGCAGAAACCTGGAATCGAAGATCATTGATTTTTATGGCGGGCGGTGGATACCGAGACCGGGTTCCCCGCGTCTGACGTGCCAAGATCTCAATGGGGTATGAGCTGAGGTATGACTGCACTGCCTGTGCCGGGCACCTCATGCCATTTGCACTAGGTTACGATATTGTATGGTATGGTATATACTGAGAATGTAGGCGTGGCAGGTTGAGGGGCTCTGGGAGTTGGATGGGTGTGAGGGAAGGTGGATGGTCTTGTGGCGTTGTCTGCTATATTGACAGTACCTGCTACGAAATGGTAACCGGGATTTTGGTTGAAGAAGATAGGTCCGTTGGGTGGGTGAGTTCCCTGGGTTCTGGGGTTGAGGGCCGATGGCTGTTTTCTCTGGTGATGCTTGCGTTGAGGGTGATGTACTCATATCAGGTGCTTAGATACTTGTGCACTGGTGGACTGGTGGTGGTGGTCTGATGGGTCACTACACGTCAGTAGCTGAAGGTTTCATCTGGTGGGCTGCAACTGGGAGTCTATACTTGGGTTCATTTATGGAGTCAATTCAAAGTTCTGTCCCGGGTCTGCTGCTTCGAACCGGGGAGCAAACGCATGTGGCCCGGGGATGTCGGTTCCTGGTAATTATTCTCCGAGGAGGGGGTGTGTCTACCCAGAGTGGGTTGTCAGCGGTTGAGTGGTGACACTTGGGTCGCAAAGATAATTTTAGGTGTGTAAGTAGGTTGTTTGGGCAGGAGATGCAGACTCCAAAGGTAGTTTGTGTTTTGTCCTTGCAGTCCTCTGGTAAGCTTGGGTGAGCTGATTCGGAACTGTATGGTTGATATCGTCCGGTGCTTGATACTGTAGGCCTCTTTGCTGCCCACTGCTACACTTATTGAGGACAAGTACTGTAAACTAAACAAGAAACAGTGTCCCCGCTCTGCGCCCTCGGATTCAGTAATACCTCCCGCAAAGACACCCAATCACTAAACTACTTCAGCAGTGACAGCCCGCCGGGTCGGCCTCCCGACGGTTCGTATCAAGTCAAAGCTTAACGGGTGCCAATTGGCGACAGCGGCGTCCGTGGAACCTGGATCCCGGAGTGTCGCCTGCTCCAATCCTGCCGCTTCATTGGGCTGGTAGCAGAGGGATCGGTCGTGTCCGGGTGGAGCAAGTTGGGATCGGAGACGGGAACGGAGTAGGAGTAGGAGCAGGACGCCCGAAACAGAGTGAGACCGAGAAGGATGAGAAGCGAAGACAAGTGGCGTGTCGCATTGCGGCGTTGTTCGGGCCACAGAGTTGTGTAACCTCTGGTATCTTGAAGAATTCTTTTGCCCCATGCCCAAAAGAGTTGGTTCCAAGTTACCACTGGGGTCTTCCAGTCACGGGATGATGAATCATTTGGGATAGTTAATTGGTTGAGTCCCGTATTAGAACTGGGAGATAGCGGTACCCTGTTGGTGAGCATACTTGGGCAATATCTCAAATTTATCACTGTGTCGAAGAGATGGCACATCTGGCGGTGCAGCTGGTTTCTCGTGGAAGGCTGCATCCCTCTGACCGGTCCGATCCGTGGATAATCCGCGGGACTGGCGATGGATGCACTACCGAGGATCTTCACGTGGATCTCGCAATATCATGCACTGGCTGCTTAGAGGGCATTGACTGGGAGGTTTGCGGAGGCTCTAGGCTTGCAGGTCTGGATTCAATCAATAAGTTAGGCAGTATACGTCTAAGTCAGATGAGGTTTGCTTTTTCTTGCCCACCTTTCAATGCGCACTCAATTAGATTCTCGTCTAGCTGGTCATCAAATCCCAGGAAATTGATACAATGGGATCAATATGCGTCAAGTCGAGCAAGGTAGAAATTGGATGCCCGACCAAGGTTTGAATTCCTCAATGCAACAGGAGCATCTACTGTCGAAGCATGGTAATACATGGTACCTAGTACCTTATACAAAGCAACATTCCAAAACCGATCACAGCTCAGTAAGAGACCAGATAGGAAAGACCCCCACCGTTCTTCCCTCACCGCTTCCACAGGGGATAAACCACTACCCGACTATTCCTCCACTGCCTCCACTCTACTCCCTCCCTGCATCATTTGTCCCCGAGCACAGCCTTCGAGAAAAAAGAAATATGACTGCTCCATTCTCCGTCCCAGCAGATTGGCACCGAATGAGAGCCATCCCTGCACCTGCTGCTCTTCCTGCCGCATGATTCATGCAGCGGTTGCCTTGCTTACCCAAGAACGAGCGGCCTCCAATTACCTCGAATACGGGGCGGGCGTATGCAAGCCCCGATCATCCTCAAACCCCCCCCCAGTGATCCTGTTTTCAAGCAAACAAACCTGCAAATCCTTGGGACGTCTACACGGCGCACTGCTGAGTGGGACATGCCCCGGATGGCATGGACTTTGCTGGAACGGGAGGCGCCACATGTTCCCTCTAGCGCCCTGCGTGTCGCGCCATGTGATTATCCGGATGGTATGGTTGCAGCTCGTATATCTTACAGGGCAATCAACCCCCGTGAAATTTACAGTTTGTACATACCGGTCTTGTGGCAGGTCGTACGGTGACTGTTTATTTAGTACCTGGTTTCATTACTGACAGGGAGTCCCAGTCGACATGTTCATGTATTTTTCTAGGGTACACTGAAGCTCTTTGTACAGAAAACCTTGATTCCATGAGAAATATCCATCCAAACTTGCTCAATGGTCTGGTGCCCTCCAGCAACAACATCTAGTCATTCCCCCCATTTCAAGCGCTTTGAGATCATGCCATCGAACTCATCGCCGGATCGCTTGCGACCGCCAATACAGCTGGGGCAGTGAATGTAGAAATAGGAGTGTGGGTGGTATCCAAGGTTTTCCAGGGCAAAGTTCCTTCCAATAAACTCGGTTTTCCCCCAATCGAGACAATCTTCGCAGAATGCGAGCGGACACCTCGCACAACAGAACAAGAGCCCACCGGCCTCAGATGCCCTTCTCTCGCAACCCGAGCAAACATGATGGGGGCAACTGAAACGGGCCTCGTTCGTGTGCGACTTCATGGAATCCGGCAGACATTCCCAGTGATATGCTCGAGGACAGGTCTGACAATCCAGAGGTTCGAACCTCTTACAGATCCCACATGTCTACTTCGGTCAGCCAGGGTCATAAAGTGTGATGGCCACTGAACTCACGATCTCGTTTGTCATGGACTTCAACGTTCCCATTCCTGGTGATTTTGGTGTCGTTGGAGAAGTGACATGCATGCGTAGATTCTCCTTCGTGACGTCGAAACCCTCAATGGAAATAACCCGCCCTTTGCCGATTCGACGTTCTGCACGGGCGAAATAGGGCGCGTCGTCTGGAAATGCCTGGAACCTAGACAGTTTCTCAACCTTCTGCCCATTAAAGATATTTGTGCGCACCCGCTCCGACACTTCCCACCAGGAAGAGGTGTTCGCGAGGTCCTTGCCCGTGTTCGAGTTAATGGTGCATCTGTCAAGAAGTGATTCAAAACTCCAGGACCTCATATCTGCCAAGCTATTCTCTTGAAGACCTTCGCAGGCAATGAGGCGCATCGGAGGCGTCTCGTCAATTCCGGTCAGGGTATAGTCATAACCGTTTCCAGCTTCGAATATGCGCTCCTCTTCAATGATCTTTGATGAAAGATATGACTTCTTGAGCAGGCGGCGGCTCATCTGCTCTTCCAAGGTACCTTTGGAGATAAGCCTGAAGATCCTTACCGGCTGCTTTTGGCCTATACGGTGCACGCGAGATTCAGCCTGTCTCATCACTTGCGGATTCCAATCTTCGTCTAAAAAGATGACCACCGAAGATCCGACCATGTTAAGCCCCTCGCCACCGGCCCGAATTGATACAAGGAAGACCATGAACTGGGGAAGGTTGTTGAAGAGATGGACGCAGAGCCTGCGCCAAGCTCGAGAGGTACTCCCGTCAAGCCTAACATATTCGAAGAAACCGCGTCTCTGCAGGATTTCCAAGAGCTCCTCGCAAAGATCAAGAGCCTTGACGAAACAAGAAAAGATGACGACCTTCTTCTTTTCGGTGAAGACGAAGTGGTGGACCAACTTGCTCAACGCAAGAAGCTTTCCTGAGCACGAGAGAAGGGAGCTAGCAGAATCATTTGAACTTTCTGGGCCGTTATTCAATAGCCAAGGATGGATGGAGCACTTCAGACGTGAGTATACTGCATGGTTGGCATGATGCAATCAATGCTTACCTTTCGCAGTTCCATGAGAACGTTATCCGAAATCTTCCATTTGCGTTTGGCGGCTGGCTTATTAAGGTCGATGTTTGGCCTGTCGATAGGCCAGCCTTCTTTGTCTGTCTCCACCGTCGACGACGGCCGCGAGACTTCGCCGAGTGCTTCGTCTAGTCCTGTCAGCACTTTCATGTACAAAGAGTGTTGCAGCTTCGAAAGCGGCACAGCGAGTGTGACAACCTGCTTGGGTGGCAGATTGATTCCGACCTGCGGAGAGTCCTTTAGACGTCGCAACATGATGAGGTTGAGAAACCCTTTGATATGATTTGAGAAGGCAGCATCAAATTTGCCTTCGTTCAGCGAAAATGCGTCCTTGAACAGCTTAGCCGACGACGGTGTGAAAACTTCGGGGAAAAGCCAGTGCAACAGCGACCACACTTCGCCCAAGTTGTTTTGAATCGGAGTACTAAACACCAGGTTTGGTGAGCATGAGAAGGTCAAGAGATGGACAATATCACTAACCCTGTGAGTATGAGCTTATATTCGGCACGAAGCTTGCCCATAGCCTGTGCCCGCTTGGAGTTGCTGTCCTTGATCCGATGGCCTTCGTCGAGCACAACATACTTCCAGATTGCCACCTTTCGGAACCAGAGGATGTCCGCCATCAACGTCTCGTAGCAGGTGATCAGCACTGTGCTTCTGACATCCTCTTTGAAGCAGCCCTCTTTGCCTTGCTTCTTTGAAAAGAGCTTCTTTACCATGACTCTTTGATCGCGTGTCCCATGAAACTTGACGGGAGTGAGGTTCGGAGTCCACTTTGTGAGTTCAGTGATCCAGGTATCCAAGACGCTCAGAGGGCAAACAACCAGAAATGGTGCAGGATTGATACAAGACGATCGTTCACTCTCCGTGACATGTTCAAAGAGCGTCAACGTCTGCAAAGTTTTGCCGAGTCCCATCTCGTCGCCTAGAATGCCACCCATTCCGTTTCGTCGAAGATACATGAGGAACGAAAGCCCCTCGAGCTGGTATGGTTTCAGGGTCGCCCGCAACCTGCAAGGTTAATCAGGGTGTGCAAGGCCCAGGTATTAAGGGTCTTTACTTACCCTCTCGGCTGAGATGTCAGTTGTTGATGCTGCTCGATAGTTGGTTGCCCATGATATTCAGAATCGCTCAGCACGTCGGGAACCCTGTCTAGGAGAGGAAAGATGAGGTCTCTCTTTGCTCGAAGGAAGTTAATTCGACGACTTTTGATGTCATCGATGACACTTGTGGGTGTACTTTTGGCAGTGAAGGTGCTCTGTTTGATACGAAATGGGAGTCCGACGAGAAGGTTTTGAAACCGCGCGGTGTACGATAGAAGCGGAGACGATTCTCGTTCTGACAGTCTGTTAGCTCGATGGTTGCTTAGCGGCATGAAGGAAGTCTGATCATACCCAGATATCGAGCTGATAGAGGGTTTGAGCTGCCAGTACTGGGTGGAGAGGTAGGGGGTGTCGATATGCATGATCTGGGACTACTGAGCGGTGTCTGAAAGTCGTCCGAGTCGAGGAGATTATCCATGTTGGTGTGAGGGGGGTGATAGGCTTTTTTATGAAGCCAGTCAGCAGGGGTGATTGGTTGATGAAAGAAATAATGTGAGGAACTGTTGCTCTGGTGACTCGATGAGGCGGTAATTTATATAGTGGTGAGTATATTACACCACTGTTGATTCCGAGTCTTCGGGGTGGGGCTTGAGACGAGTCTGAGGCAGTGTTGCTCCTAGGTATGCTAGTGTTTGGAACGATAAGGTAATTTTGGGGGGTATATTCACAGGGATACGGTGAGGAGGGGGGTTTGATGAGGGCAGGCTACGTTGAGAGTGATAGTGAATGGAGGGTGTCTGAGGTGGAGGAATAGCAGCATTGTGGTTTTGCTGTTTTTGTGAGAATGGCAAGTGAGATAGCCCAACCCATTTCATCTTCGATGGAAACTATAAGCAGATCAAAAATGTTTGGTCCAGGAGTCTACCCAATATCTAAACCATGGTAAACTGAAGCGATATCTGAGGAGGGTATACCTGGCAATGATATGTGGAGTGAGGTTTGCTCGGCTCACTGCGGGTTGCGGTAGAGTAAGATATCCTTGTCAATATGAGAGTGCTTTCAAGAGGCTGAACATAGATTAGAGTCAGTAGAACTGGTTTACGAAGAGTTCTCAATGTCCTCAAGCTTTTGATGTATACTGGCTGCATAAGAGTATACATCATGTGGGGACCAGCGAGATCAACCACCATAGCAACCAGACTTTGCGTGAAAGAGGCATATCGAAAACGTCTCCGCAACCCACAATATCCAGCAGAAGCCATGCCACAAACAAAGACTTATGTACAGTCCAGTCTCAGCGAGCATGGGAAACCGGGGACCAACAATTCGTCCACACCCGCCATCCCAAGGCACCAAGGCACCGAGGCAGCGAGCGATCTTATCAGTTCGATGACTGATAAGCCTGATCAACATTTTTCTCCAAACTACCGTCACCACCACACCTCACCACACCTCACATCGACATACAACTTCCGCTTCCACTTCCACTTCCACTTCGACCCTCGATCATCCTCCATCCACCTCCTCTTCTCATCTCCTACACTTCACCCCAAATTCAAACCCCACACCCCTCACTCCACCCGCAACAAAAATGACAACCACCCCCAAAAAACAACACATAGCGCACACCCTCCTCCTCCGCGCCCACTCCCCAGACACAGCCACCACCCTCTTCACCGAGCGCGTCAAACAGAAACCCCTCTACGTGCGCCCGACCTCCCCGACCCCGGAAGACAACCGCCACCGCCGCCGCCTCCACCGCCTCCGCCGCAAGGACTACTTCCTCCGCCACCAGAAACCCCGGCCCCTGTCCGCGCGGGAGCGCCGCGCCCACCCCGAGGTGTTCGGGGCGCCTTCTACCTCCCGTTCGCGGACGAAGCATTCCAAGACCAAGTCCAAGTCCAAGAACCAGAACCAGAATCAGCCAGAGGGTGATGGTAAGGGTGATGGTGCGAATGCAGGGGAATACAAATACGCCACCTTTAAGGGCCTGAACGCGCTGTGGGTGGAGTACATGCTCGCCGTGCTCGATTTGAAGGACCCGCGAAGCAAGACGGGGTGTGTGGTTACGCCGAGCTCGCATGGGAGTAAGCTGGTGAGCTGTGATTATCATGGGGCCGAGGTGGAGGTGGTGCGGAGTCGGTGTGCGAGTCGGGTTGGGCTGCGGGGCATTGTGGTGAGGGATGGCATGTTTGCGTTTACGGTGGTGGGGGAGGGGGATCGAGTTACGCGTGAGTTTTTTGCTTCTGGTCTGGTTTCTCTGGGGTTTGGGGGTGGGGTTTGCTAACTTTTGGTGTTTGGGTAGTGGTTCCGAAGGAACATACGGTCTTTCGGTTTGAGTTGCCTCTACCTTTCGCTTCGGGGGGGAAGGATCGGGCTGGGGCCGTGGAGGCGGTTGGGGAGAGTGAAGAGCAAGACCAAGCGCAACGGCAACAGAAGAAGCTCGTGTTCGAGTTGCATGGCAGCCAGTTCCAGAATCGGCCGGTCGATCGCGCGAATAAGAAGTTCAAGTGGAGGAATGTGGATTATGTTTGAGGTTTGGCCTTGGACTGTCCCTTGGGTTTCTGTCCTGGGGGCTTGGATTTATGGGGTTATTGGTGGTGCTCGGGGTATAAGGATCAGGATTGTATGCCTGTGCAGTGTGGCTGCGGTTGCTGGGAGATGCTGGAGCATTGAGGCAGGGCGGGCTTGCTGCTGGCTTACTCGTTGATTCTTGGCTGTGGAAGAAGCATGGCTACAGAGATTGTGCCCACGAGCTAGCTTCGGCGTCTCCGTGCAGCGGTGAACTCGACAGAGGGAGGTCTCGAGCTTCTGCAGTCAAACCCCGGCTGCAGGCACTGCGCCCCGCCAACTAGGCTGGCGTAGAAGTGCTGGCTGGCTTCACGCGACAAGGCACTCCAGTGCAATACCTTACATTGGGCTATACTCCGACGAGGCTCAAGGACCCTTGACAATGCACGTTGCACACGCACGTTGCACACGCGCGTGCGCAAAGGTCTACGGAAGTCGGTCTTGTTGAATAGATCAATCAACACCAGAATCTATCTTCGCATCATATATGAATTCGTTAATTCATGTTCATGGTAGCTCACATCAAGCACTATCTTTGGTCGAGCATGGCCTGTCTCTCGGCCGACTCAGCTCAATCTCAATTCAGCCAGACGCACCTCAGCCAGACACCTAAGCACCCCAGATGGGGCAAACGGGACGGCTCTTAGCTGCGCAGGATCAACCCGCAGACGACAAACCCAGCCGCCCTAACGGCATAGCAAAACAGCCCCTATGCATTTCTGCTAGGCTGCGTTCCCGCTGCACCGCATCTCTCTACCCACGAAAGAAGTCCATCACCTATCACCAGGAGGATTAATCAACTCGAGACAGACAACGGCGCAGCGCAGCACAAGCTCGAGCCTAACCCCATTCCTCACAAGAAACAGGCGCATGCAACCAAACCACCATAAGCATCCACATCAATAGATATCAGTTTCGAACCGTAAACCCTCCACAATATCAACACCAGTACCAAGAGTTCACATCCCAGCCCACTCCACACTGAACGTCCGTACACTCCCCGCATCCCCCAGACCAGACTCATCCGCCGCCCCGCCGATCAGAAACCCCTTCTTGACGCCCGTGCCCAGCCGTCCGCCGGCCACGACCGCCATCAGATCCAGCTCCTCGTCCCAGTCGGCCCCGACCACCAGGAAGTGCGAGTGGAACCGCAGCGGGTCGCCGGGGTACGCCAGGTACTGGCACCCGAAGCGCAGGCCGGGCGAGAGGTAGTACCCCTCTGCGTGGAGGTGGGCGAACAGCGGGTAGGAGGGGGGCACGGTGGGCGGGGGGAGCACGGTTGAGGAGGAGGGTGAGGGTGTGTACGGGAGTGGTGGGTGGGAGGTGGCGGGGGTGATGCCCATTGTTGTGCCGTAGGGGGCGATGGTGGTGGTTGTGGGCGTGGATGTGGATGGTATCGAGGTGGTGGTGGCAGCCATTAGGGTATCTTCAGCTGGAGCTGGAGCAGTATCTGGGGCTGCGGGCTCATCGCTCCCTGTAGCAGCACTATTATCCTCACCCTCACCCTCGCCCACGGCGGCGGCAGCAGCAGCAGCAGCAGCAGCCTTCTTCTTAGCGGCCGTCTTCTTCGCTTCTACCCGCTTCAGCGCCTCCTCGCGCTGCTGCTCTTTGCGGTTGGTCTGCAGCCGCATGGCGTGGGCGCCCTGGGATTCTAGCTCGCGGCGATACTTCTGGCGGTCGGCCTCGCGGAGGGCGCGCATGCCCTCGCGCTGGGCTTTTACCTCGTCTACAATGCATGCTACACCGTTGTCCACCAGCAGCCGCGCCTCCTCGGGCATCAGCTTCAGCGGCAACCCCAGAAACACATTCTGCTGGGGGATCTGCGGCAGGGTGCCGGTGAGCACGCCGCAGATGTGGTGCTCGCGTCTCAGATACGTGACGGCATCAATGGAGAAGAGAAAGTAGCTACCCGCGATATACGAGATCGGGACGGGGAGGGGAGGGTCTGATTCCATTGGGAAGGTAAAAAATTTATTTTGGAAGTAAATCTCTGTTGTAACTAAGGCGCTGTTAGCTCGAAGACTCAAGGAGTGATGCAGAGGATCAACAGCGGGATAGGCATTGCAAATCATTTTCAATACGTTTCTCAATCACATATGCTCGTTAAATGAGATTATTGTGAGCTTCAGGGGATTGACAGATTATAGTAGTTCATATAATCATGCAAAGGGGGGATAGAAAAAAAAACAAAGTGAGGCTTACCATCTACTCAGAACGCATAAGCATCCTATGCGTTGGCAGTACAAAGACTGCGAAAGTGTTGCAGAGACCGTGTTGTTCTCTGGCGGAAAGAGCAAGAATTGAGGAAAAAATATTTAGTGGGATGGAAGCTCTTAAAGAAGCTGCCCCAATGGAGACCTTTCCTCTTACGGTTAGCCGACCATATGTGATTAGTAACGAGCACGGGCCACCATACACTGGGCACCTTGCCGATGGATGCTCTTCCGCGACCAGGAGATGTGATTGATTGTCGAACGACGAGGATCATTAGGCGTCAAAATGAGCTTCTTGTTGCTTCTATTCTTCGTTTTTTTCACTCCCCTCCTGTTGCTTCTAGGTATGTCCACTTTCACCACTTCTCTGCTGCATCAGAATTATTTGTTAACGGGGCCGTAAAGCATGGCTGGGTCTTTCGTCCTGCATGAGGAACCGCCGCCTGCGATCGTATTTCGCAGCCTCGCCCGCCGGACCGGGCATCGACTCGTACGGTAGACACTATCTCCGCACAATGGTCAACACCGGGCCCGCCATGTCCGAGCAGATCGAGCTGGACGATATGATGCGAGGATCGGAACACGAGGAATGATCGCGAAGACGTCTGCATTCAAACAAACACCGAACACTTCAGAACTCTAGATCCGCTTTCTTCGGCATGTTTCCGGAAACCGCGCCGTCCTGGCCCTCCTTGTCGCCTTCGGCGGGGGGGAGACTGAAGGGCTTGATCTCGAACCTCCGCCGACTCAATGTGAAGGCCCAGTCCTGGCCGACGTTCTGGTCACTCCCGCCACCACGCTCGTGCAGGACTGGTAGCCGATGAGTCTTCAACATTCCTTGGGGAGGCTCCTCGTGGGACGTGGCTGCGCCGGAGGTGGCGAGCGCGTCGGCAGAGTGAGGGAAGGGACACAGCTCGATGACTCCGTCGCTGATGAGTTCCATCCATCGGACGAGGCCTGACGCGCGAGGGAACAGAGACAAGGGGATTGTGATCATCGCCGTGGCTCGAACCCCGGGCGTGTTGAGCAGTGCTCGGAGGGAGTGGAGGAACGGCAAAACGCTATCAGGTTGGCTCGATTCGAACGGGTATATCGTGGGGTTCAGGAGAGATGGGATGACGATGCGATGGACAGTGTTTGGGGGGCTCGAAGCGATCGCAGCATCAAGGCGTTTGTGAATGGTCGTGAACAAGGGTTCTTTCGACGGGGTGAGCGGGATGTAGTTGAGATTGGTGATGGAGGGGTGTGTGAGTCGTTTGGTCAAATCGAAGGCGTGACAGAACGCAGGTCGCTTGTCCGGACTTCCGTCTGCAGTCGGCTGACTCTGGTCCCCGGAAGTAGCTGTAGGCACTATCAATTGTCAATGCGCCTCATTCACAGCCATGGACATATATCGAATTACCTCTTGACCCTGCAATTCCTGCTCCAAATTCCCCCAGGCGCTCGTACCTCCAAGCGATCTTCATGCGCTCGCCCTTGCGCTTGTCTTGCTTATCATCGACAGCATCAGCTGGCCCAATAAGCCCCGGAAGACTTCTTCCCCACTGCTCCGGCATCCCGACGACATGGACTCTGTGGTCCTGCACCACGCCCTCAGCTGCGTAGTATCGTAGCAAAGCTCCCGCAAAGTCCGTCGTCCCGTTCTCTTCCACTAGCAACGTCTTCCCAATAGGAAGCCCACCATGTCCAGCAAGTATGTTATCAAGCGACGGTGTTCCCGTCGACGTCGTCGGTCGCCCATCGTCGGGGGAGGGGCGAACGCCCGGTGTGGTTTCTGGAGCAGCAGCAGCAGCAGCAGTGGACGTCGCTTGCTGCAGCCCGGCAGAGGCATTGACGGACGCAGTCCGATCGCCTCCAGTCGACAATCCAATATTCCTCTTTCGAAAAGACATTACTGAGGGTGTTGTTGTGGTAAATGCAACTCAGCTGAAGCGCGCACGAAATTGTTTCCTCAAGCTTTGAGATGCTGCGGGGCAATGCACGGAAAGGTACTGTAAAAGCGGCGGCGGCGGCGGCGGCGAGGACGACGGCGGCACTAAAAGTTCTACTACCAAAAAAGCTGTCCGTCGGGTTTCTCCCGCGCGAACTCCTCACTTTCTTTCTCTCTGGATCTTTCCATCCTCCACGCGCGCGCGCTCGCTTTGTCCATTCATCGACCAGCTTCTACACACCTTTGACACCAACGACCAAGGTCGCAATTCCCTACTCGAAGAAAACTCGGCGTGCAACGAAACCTGCCCACCATGTCCGACCCGTTACTCTTCGAGGACACCTTCACCATCACGGCGATCAACCAGCAGAAATATGACCGCGTGTCGCGCCTGACCTGCACCTCCTCGGACAACTTCACGACCTTCACGCTCGACGTCAACACCGAGCTGTACCCCTGCGTCGTGGGCGAGTCCCTCAACATGGCGCTGGCGTCGACTCTGTCGCTGGATGGCAAGGACGACTCCGGGGCCAAGGCGGGCTGGAAGGAGGTCGGCATGGGCGAGCAGACCCTGGCCAACGACTACGATTACGTCTGCCACGGCAAGGTCTACCGGTTCGAGGAAGGCTCGACTTCGGGAAACATGTAAGTTCTTTGTGTTTTTTTTTGGGAATTGGGATCTTTTATATCGACATCTCATGGAAGTTGTGACTGTGACTAACCTCGGATCTTTTTCTCTTCTCTCCAGGGCTGTCTTCATCTCCTTTGGCGGATTGTTGCTCTACCTCGAGGGCCCCTACAAGAAGCTGGCACCCCTGCGGATCGACTATGTCTATCTTCTTCTTAAGAAATAAGGACAGCAAAGGACGAGAATCGTCTTTGACGTTTGTTTTTCTGATTCCCTAGGCTACTATGGGTTGTAGAAGCGCTCGAAGTCCGATTAGTATTTGGGAAAGCGACCAAAAAAAAGTCTGATTGCATTTGATTGGGGTCCTTCGATTGCAGCGCCGGCGTTCGATTGGTGAAATTTGGGTATAATTGAAATAGAGAACCACTAAATTCTATGACATGATGTGTACATTCCCTGCTGCTGCTGCTGCTGCTTCTTCGCTCTCATACATGCCTTTATCAGTCCCGCCTCCTCTTTCCTTCTAGTTCGTCGCATGCGAGGCAGTGGGAAACTCCAAGCGCCGGTGTATCCGGGCCAGGATCTCCAAGAAATCCGGCTCGTTCTCGGCGGTTAGGATGCCGTGGCGGATGAAGAAATCGATCAAGACGACCGCGCAGTTGGGCTTGAACTCGCCGCGCGCGAGGGCCGCCTGAGTCTCGTCGACCGAGAGTAGATGGAACTGCTCGACCTCGGAGTCGCCAGGCTGCAGCACCACGTCCGCGCCGACCCGCACGTCGTAGATGTACTCGACCTCGGGCTGCAGCAGGTCGGTCTCGCCGCCGGCCTTGGAGCTCCGGACGTAGAAGTAGGTGACGCAGCCGGCGGCGCGCGCGTTCGCGCGCGTCACGGCCTCCGGCAGCGAGGCCTCCTCGCTCGCCTCGCGCACGAGGCACTCGAACGGCCGCTCGTGGGAGCTCATCCCGCCCGCCACGGAGTTGTCCAGCATCCCCGGGTAGGTCTGCTTCGTGCGCGAGCGCCGCGGCACCCAGATCCGCAGCCCCCGGCCGTCGTCGTCGCTGTCGTCCTCGACGTAGCACGTGGCGTGGATGCCGTACGAGACCACCCCGAAGAGCGGGGTGGCCGACCGCTCCATCTCCAGCAGGAACTCGCCCCCCGGCCCGTAGATCGGGTACAGCTCGTCGCGCCAGCCGCGCAGGATCTCGAACGTGCCTTGCTCCACCGCCGCGGCGAGCGTCTGCGCGACTTGCCGGCTGCGCTGCGCCGGGGTTGCATCGGCGCCGGTCACGAGGGTGACGGTCCGCGTCGTGGAGTTGACCGCCCAGAACTCGGCCGGCCAGGGGAAGCGCTGCACCACGCTGTTGAGGATGTAGCCCAGCACGGCGTCGCAGCCGCTGACTTTGAAGACGTGGTAGTTCTCCAGGTGCGCGGTGTAGAATGCGGGGTCATCCTGGTAGTACGGGAATCTACCGTGGTGGGATCATGGGTAAGTAAGCATTCCGATGGACAGTGAAGGGGGAGGGGTCGGAGGGGCAAGGCAATTACCGGTCGCATTCTTTGACCAGCTCGAGATTGGACTTGCCCATTTTGGCTTGATGGTAGATCTGTGAATGGACTGGGTGGTATACAAAAATGCAGAGAAAACAGTCTATGCTTGAGTCATGCTGTTATAAGGTTACTTTGCGGAAGGATATAGTGGCCGGCCCCTCTGCAAAAACAAATCTGCCGGCAGAATAATCAAAATTGAGAAGGCGAAGGTAACACTGTAACAGTATACCCCTCGTCTATTCAGCTAATACCTTACCTAAGAAGATATTTAAATGAACAAATAGTAAGTGGTATTAATAGAGTTTTGTATCGCTCGTCCAGTAGTCAAGAATTAAAGAATAAGTGCAAGATAATTTAAACTAGCAATCAGTAACTTACTAGTAGCTTTATGAGAAACTCCAGATCTAGACTTTCTTTAGCTTTCCTATTGGAGGAAGCCTAGTATTTCTGTTTATTAAACTTAAACTATTATTCTACTGTGGGCCATAAAGTCCTGCTACAACGTACTGGTACTATGCGTACCAGTATAAAGCACTATAGAATCATATTACCTGTTCATAACCGATGTAGTCAAGTTATATCAGGGTAGATGATTCTACATACTGTATTACTTGGATATTGTATAGGATGTTGTCTGCACAAGTGATGCTGATAAAAACTGTTTGATCAAGAATTTCCATCAGAACTATGGGCCCTCAAATCATTATCCGGAGGGCTTCTCTGGGCTTCTGATTGACAGTATGGATGTCATTATTCTAATAAGATATATTAGTATACTTGACTACTTGTTACTAAGCCAACCGGCAGTATAGGCGTAGATCTCACGGTACTAAACAGACTACAATTCCGGTTACTCGAGAGCATTGTTAGCCTAGACTGAAGCAGTTAGAGAGTGGGTTCTTTGATAGAAATACATCAGCTGTGAGACTGAAGTTGTCTCAGGTTCAGTGCAGAACAAAAGATTTTATTTTGGCATGTTGCAATGATCCTCCTGAACCACACGCGCAAAGTGGATAACTACTTTTGTAGCACTACGCTTACTTGTCGACGTTAGTTATTGCTAGTACATACCACCGAGAATAGCGTCTAGGAATGTGAATCCGGCTTGGATTTCAGGTGACTGGTTAGGGGAAATTAGGGACTATTATTTATACCAGGTCGGCACCCTTCCTTCTGACTTTGCTTCTTACTTCAGTAACTAAGAGCGCCTTTGAAGTTGCCCAATGCAGGCATGTTCTAGGTGGGAAGACAGCTTGTTTATAATATTGTTTTTTTTTCTTTGTTTCTAGGCGAAAAGGTTGTTATGTCTTTATAGTTAGTATATAAAAAGAAGGTCATAAGGTCCAAGGACACCTCCATCGAACCTTGTTTTTAAGGGGAGTCTGGCAAGCACTAGACCCAGAGTATCTCAGTGAAATAGCCGTCAGGGCTTGGGCATATGACGATGGCAGACACACTGGTTTGCCGTTTCTACCGGGTGCAGAGGTAATGCAGGGCAACTTTCCATATGGAGTACTCGTAGCACGGTGAGACATGAGGGCGATGATCAAGTTGGTTTAAATCTTCGCCTGCTTGCAGACAGTTGAAGTAAAGTTGCAATCACACTTGTATTGATTTCTACAGAGTTGCATAAAGAGGGGACGGAGGCTCTTATATTATTTGCAAAGAAGATTACGTTATATCATCGAAGAAACTCGATGCCACGGGAACCCATAGTGTGTCCTAATAGGTCTGTCCTGCGCAGCTCTCCTTTTACGCTGCACATCCCGCTAGAAGACCAGTGCAGCCACTACAGCATCGCGGAATGTGGACATGCCATTACTCCTGGGATGAAAAGTTTTGATCTGTTTCACCGGCACCCATAAACTGATATCCTGGCTGGAATAATTCTTGTCGGAGATGTCGAGCTGAGCCTGGGCAAAGATCTAGGCCTCTTGACCCCCTGGATCGCCCGCAATCCGGAGGGCAGACCGGCACATGGCTACTGCGTAAGGATCAGGGTCAGTACCCAAGGTGGTGTTGCAGGTGGCCGCGTCGGGGAGAGTGAGCCCATCCGCAATGATGGTCGCCACCTCGGCAGCGATCTCGGCAGAAGTGGTTTATGCAAATGTCATTCAGACACCAATTAGTGGCCTATCTTGTGGCAAACTGCAGCGGCGATAGAGAGAAGAAAGACGAAGAGCTTATTGTCTCTTGACTGTCGATTATAACGTCCTTCCAATTGCTGAGGAAGTGAAGTACGTCGCATCGCGGCTGGAGTCGGGTTCTCTGACACCATCCTCGCAGAACCTGTGTCCCTCGAAGTAAGGTTCGACATCGACATACACGACGCCGGCACTCCCCAAGACAGTGCTAGCCTCACTGATTGCGGCTGATTTTACCGAGTTGATCTGTTGCACCAAACCGTTCATCTCCGTCCTCATGGCGGTGGTCAAGTACACGATGCGTGGGTCCCAGGCGCCATTGTACTTACCCCACAAAAAGTGGAAAGAAAAATAATCGCAGGTGGTAGTCTCGTCGTTGAAGAAACGAGGATATCCCGGTGACATAAAGCCGGAAGTCGGCGTTGGCCGCCTTGTTCATGATGCTCAGGTGTGCCGTTCCTGCCCTGGTATGACGCACAGGCCTTTGTTATGGCAGGTGATTTGCAGCTTATACGGTCCGCCATTTGACTGCATGGCTTCTTAAAAGACCTTGCGAGCACGTTGGCGGCGTCCGCTGTGAACGTGCTGGACCGCACACTAGCAGGAAAGAAGGCTTCGTAGTATGGGCTGGACTGGAAATCGGATGCAGCAAAGGAAGCCAGAGAGATCGTATTGGTCATCTCAAGCTCGATTGTAGACTTTTGGGCGGCACTGCATGAATTGTCAGGGTAACTGGAACACTGCGCGTGCACAGGCAGTATCAGGACAGTATCCACGCTTGCAGGACCATCTGCACAAGTCGGAGTCATGGCCAATCAAAGAGACCCCGGTATCGTTTACAATGGAGGGTCCCGTTTCAGTGCAGAAATAGTGGTTCTCGGGGCAAAACCCAAAATTGCAGGCATGGCTGCAGAGCCCGGAGAAACTGCCGTTGCCTATGCCAGACACACACGCTAAAAGTATAAAAGCGTGACACTGGGTAGATATTGAGACTGTACACTTTTTGGGCAGTATTCGCTAAGGCAGAACCCGAGGTTGCATGCGAAAGTGCAGAGGCCAGACCAATTTGCATCCCCATTGGCAGGATATCCCACCTCTCCTGTTGCATTGGGCAAATTGATCAACACGCTTGGATTAGTACAAACAGAGGCTCCAACTAGACACTAGTAATCAGTCAGTTTCAATACACAAGACGGTGGCATGGCACCAAGATCACGTACGTACCCTCGAGAGCATGTGAAGCGGCAAAGCTCGTCAAAGTCACCAACACTGTAGTCAGCTGTGCAGATCATCTGACTGAGATGAAAGCAGCATATTCCTCCGTCACTTCAATATTTTCACACTAACAGCCACATAGCTATTCCAGTCGGTGAGATCATTGACGCAATTATCCGCCGATATGCTTTGTACTGGAGTTAGAGTGAGGAAAGTGGTAGCGTCACGTACAAGTTCAATTGTGACTCTCTGCGCATGCTTCAAAGGGACACTTCCATGATAGAGACAGACCAACACCCCCGGATCCCTCCGGGAAAGGGGGTAAGAAGTCCCAGTCAGCTTCGATCACATCCGTCGATGCATTATAATGTATGATTACTTCTGCTTGTGAGGCAAGCAGCACGATAAAGAACACACGGTCCTGCGCAACCTCATCAGGCAGAAATTCCTCTTGCAACTGCGAAGCAGCATTTCCAGTAGTTCACTGGCCATTCGCAATCATCTGATAGCGAGGTGCGGAACCACGCTACGATCTTCTCTTCACTAACAGAACTTCGACCATTAATTTATATGTGTTAATCATATATGGAAGGACTTTCCTCCAGCCATCGTGCCGCATATTCACAACATAGTTGTAGGGAGCTCGGCCCACTGCGAAGGCGCCGTAGGAGCCATTATCGAGTGGGCCAATATAATGAGACTCAGCATAGTCATTCCAGCTAATGATCTCAAAGGTGCCTTGCCCCAGACCGCGAAGTCAGTAGACACAAGGACATGCGATGACCATATCTCCGTGCAAAGAAAAAGACAACAGTGCTTTTCAAAATAAGTTTGTTGACTGACCCCCGGGGTCGATTATGGTGAGGTCAGCAAAGCTCAAATATAAATTAACACAGAGATGGAGGACCCCCCCCGGCCCCTTCAATATAATGCCACTGCAGCACGTTCGTTGTACGGTAAAAAGAAAATGGCCTTTCACGTCGCAAGAGCGCTCGCGAGTACGGCCAAAAGATAAACATTTGAAATCCGCAAGTACATGCTTGGTGTATTACGGAGAGTTTACTTTGAGAGAAATCGTATTCTTTTTCCATCCCCTGTGTCTCTGGCCCACACCCCTGCTGTGCATCCAGCTTGTCAAAACAAACATCGTTGTGAGGCTACAAAGGATGATAAAAACTCCTGACCAGGCAATAATTCCATTCCTGGGAAAAAAGAAGAAGAGGAAGGCCCTGCGGACCTTCGCTCTGAACTATGTACACACATAAGGCCACGTGTTGCTGAGGTACCCATGGGTGCATGCCTGACGGGCCAAGGAGCCCGTCAATCGTTGTTAGAGCCATCTGTCATGATTTTCACGGCTCCTGTGCCACAATCCCCTGGCCTGTGGTCCTCGAGATCGCGCATGGAGTGATTGGGATCGAGACTTTCGAAGTTTGGTCATCAAGCGCCGGTTTTTAGGGCCAGCAACAGAGCAGAAATCCAGTTTTGATGCAGTGTCTATCTCCGGAGTCGACAGCCGCCTATTGAGGGGGATGACGCCTGTTCGGGTGGAGAGCATCATGTCGGCTCCGTGATGGAGTGAGCGTCCGACGCACTCAGAACAGCAACCCTATTCGCCCATTCCGTGCCATCTGTTGAGCGGTTTGCTCGGTCCGGACCCTTCCTTCTAAGCCCACATACTCATCCAGGATTCGCGACTGGCCGGAAGTCGTGAGCAAGACCCGCAGAGAGGGGGCTGCGTGGTTGAACAGCACGTCCAGAAATTCCTTGCACAGATCCGAGGCACCATCCGCCGCACTCTGTTCCTCCTCGAGCTCCGTCCAGCCGGAAATGATACAATATCCCAACACTGACGAGCTCCCCGCCAGAAGAAGGCGAAAGATCTCCAATGCCGGACGCCAGCAGGTCTCGATCTGCGTCGGACGATCCCGACTACCCAGAGATGCTAGGTCATCCGTGGGTAGAAGAATTTGCCCTGGTGGTCGGTACTGCAGGAGCTGCAGGATCAGGCTATAGACCAGCGCGAGAAGGCCCGCATCCCTCGCCGTGCCGACAAAGTTCGGGACCGGGGTCCAGTGTGGGCGATGGCAAAAGTGGGATATGAACGGTGCCTGGGCGCAGATAGCGACCTGAAGAACCTTGATCGCGGCCAGCTGCGCGCCATGGGTGGTGCCCCGCTGGTATGGACTGTTGATCCAGAGGGTCCGAGGGCTGCCCAAAGAACTATCTATCATCACACCATGGTCCGCATGAGGTTGCAGCCAGGCCCCCAGGCGGCGGACCAGCAGGGGGTCCAGCCGGATGACGTGGGTATCGGAGACGAGATCCAACCCATCGCTCGCGCCCACCGCGGTGATGAAATCCTCAAAATGGGCACAATATTGCTTCGCGTCGGCGTGAGAAGTGAACGTGGGAATCAAGGGGGTTGTTGAGGATGTTGGGCCTCCTTCTCCTCCCCTGCCTCGCCACCCTTGCCTTTCGGCTTGATCATCACGGCGGTCAAAATTGCTTCGGAGAAAATGCGACTCCTGCTGCTGCTGCTGCTGCTGCTGCAACAGTTGCAGCTGGTTTCTTTCGGTTGGCAACTGGTAACGACGGGACTGTTGCTCGATCTGTCGCAAGTGCACTGTGGCGAGAGAGGAAAGCACACATTCGTTAACTTGACAATACTATACAGTAAGGCGAGGGTTTAGCTGAGGGATGGAACCCACTTTGCTGAGTTTCGCTGGTTTCCAAAAGGATGTGCATGCACTGTCCCACCTCCCGCCGGTACGTCTCGACCTCCTTGAACTCGGCGCGCCATTTGGCCATCGCCTCTCGCAGATAGGCGGCCGACTGGGACAGCTTCAGGACGCCATCCGCGATCAAAATCACTCCATACTCGGTCATCAGATCCAGGGAGCGGTTGATCGCCGAGAAGGTGGCTTCGTATTTGGGCGCACAGTGGCTGTTGAAGGAGTCCAGGACCCGGGCGTGCCACGGCTTGAGAAACCAACCCGCCACCTCGGTGAAAAAGTCGAAGAATGCTCCGTAGATGCTGGCGAGGCGTTCCTGCATGACGGGCTCATGGAAGGCGTCTACCCACCGGGTGCAGACTAGAATGCGCTCCGACAGGGTCGTGATGTGGGAGGAGAGCTGCTCCGCGATGGTCGAGTAGTTGACCGAAGCCTGGATGATCATCGACACAGCGCCACAAAGCGCCGAGGTATAGCTGGTGGCGCTGGGGAAACAATCAAAGATGCCTTTGTGGGCGTCTAGGCTGTTACAGATCGTATTGAAGTTCCGGGCGATCTTGATTTGGCGGGTCAGCCTCTTTCTCGTCCCTTGCTACTGCCACCGCCACTGGCATCATTGCCGCTCTACTGTCTGGGATGTGCAGGTAAAGACAGACAGAAAAGAAAAGAAAAAAAAAAAAAAGACAAAAAGGAAAGCAGACTCAGGGTACCTACAATCCCCGCCCCGTCCTTCCATTTTTTCTCTGCCCGCAGGGTCAGACCTCTCACGTCTTCGGCCGTGTATAGCCCAGCTTCTTTGATCTCGGCCCCGATCCACGAATGCGCCGAGTCGGACTTTCGATGATGACGGCGAAACCGTGACGCGGGCGACGAACGAGACAATGAGTCGGACGATTTTTGTAGGGCAAAGAACTCCTCGCACTTGGCTTGTAACGTGTTCCGAGCGATCTCGGCCCCGTGATAAATCGTACTATGTTCTAGGATCAGTACCTTTCCGCCAGAGGGGTTTCAGATGTAATTGCACTGTACCCTTCCTCTGGCTGGACATTATAATATATACGATTCAAGCGCCTCTTTTCGCTTGCTTCCACTTCGTGGTCGAGCGTTTCCTGGTAGGCCTTCGTCTGGCTATCGAGCTCGGAATCTGGCTGCAGTTGCTGTACGAAGGAGTGGGCCGAGGTGGCAGAAAGGAAGCTGGAACTCCGATCTGTCATCTTGTCTTCCAACCATCTACCACTGGGGGAGTATATCGAGAGGAAGATCGATGTGAGGAGAATGACCAGTGATTGATTATCCAGGTAAACTTTGCCATTCCGCGAGCCTTCGCAGAAAACTAATGCAATGGAGCGCACTATCTCCACAATTGCTTAGAAGTGCGAGCATAATAAGCCAGAGTGCAAGAAGAGGGAAAGAAGAAGACATCTGTCGCGCTTCCTACGTGTGCTTAGCCTTCCCCCACCAAAAAGAAATGAGCCCGACAGCAAGCGCCAAGAGCACGGAGTATAGGAGTAGAGTGTGACATACTTCTCCGCACAAGGCTGTCAGACCCAAGCTCACCAATTGCTTGCCCGATAGCGTGAGGGGTAGCGGGTCGCTTACGCGGTAAGTACTATCGGTATGCAGTGTCGGCGGTTCGTGCCCTACTTAGGCTCCCCGCAGGAATCTGAAGGTACAAGGCGCTTATGCAGTGAGATACTATCTCGGTCACGCACGACGATGTGACTCACAAGCATTTCGATGTGAGAGGCCAGCGAGACTGCTTTGAGTGAAATAGACACATGTCAGCAGCTTGAAAAGCAAATCCTGATCCCAATCGCTTCAACGCGCTTCCCCGTGCAAGGTGAATGCAGTGGATTTGTCCCAACACCTCC